GGGGGGGGGGGGGGGGGGGGGGCGAGCGGGAAAAAGAAAGGCCAGCACGCCTTGGCGCGATCGCGGCAGACAAGCGAGGCAACCGGCCTTCATGCACCCGACCAAGGCTGCCTCCCCCTCCGCCCCCCCCTGCCCCGCCACCCGCTCTGCCACGCACCACTCGTCCTCCTGGGCCACGTGCCATACTACCCCCGGCTCTCTGTTGCCCCTCTTGCGCTGCCTTTTCCTCGCTCGCCCCCTCCCTCCGGCCCCTTGAGGGACCCTGCCAAAAGAACACCCCCCACCCGATGGCCCCACCCTCGTCCAGCAGGGAGCCCTTTCCTCGAGCGACGCCGACCCAACGATGGGCCCTCCCCCTCGCGATCGCTCCGGCACCGGGCTTCACTGGTTGGGCCTCCACCAGGGCTTGAGGGGCCCTATCTTGCTGCAGCAGCTGCTGCTTCTCCTGCTGCTGCCGCTGTGCCTCGTCGAGGCCGTTGCTCGGGCCGACATGCGCGGGGGCTTCCAGCCCGAAGTCCACGTGTATGACCGCCTGCGATCGGTGAGCTTGGTGCTGCGTCTGGCCGACCAGGTGCCGACCGGCAGCAGGGATGTCCTGTCCGCCGGGGCCCTGCTCCGGGCCCTGGAGCACGGAGCCGGCGCCTGGAGCCCGGCCCTTCGCCGGTGCCGGCAAATTGCGCTGCATGTGTTGACTGCCGCGCCAGACTCGTCAGCCGACCCGGCCTGGTACGAGCCGGCGGCCGATCGATTTGACTCTCACCGGGCGGCCGACGCCCTCACCCCGTTGGAGGTCTTCGCCCGGCGGGAGGTTGAGCGAGTGCGCGGCCTGGCCGGGGGCGGGGGGGCAGCCCGCCGGCCCGGCGCATCCGCACCGCGCCCCATCACCCGCGGCCATGTACGTTCACTCGGGTGCGCCCTTCTCCATGCCCGGGCCCTGGTTGTGGGCATGGAGGTGGTATGGGGCCCGGGTGGGAACGGCGGCAGCAGTGGCGGCGGCGCGCAGGCCGCCGCCGAGGGGGACCTCCTGCTTCTGCCACCGGTGCTGGAGCTGCTCGGGGCCCGGGCCGGGGCTCGATCCGCCGGGTCCGAGTATGGCGCTTCGGCGCCCCCCCCAGGACCGAGCCTTCTCCTGCCGCTGGCTGTTGGACCACGCGGGGAGCTGGCCCTGCCGAGCACAAGCGACTCCGGGCTCGATCGGGCCATCGCCACGGTCTTGGGCAAGGCCAGCCTGACCGAGCGCTGGTGGTTGTGTTCCTCGCTCTTCCTGCAGCGCGAAATCCTCGGTGCCCTGGAGACGACCCTCTGGCTGCCGGAGGTCCTGGCCGAGGCGGCCCGGCAGACAAGCCCGCAAGCCCGGCCATGGACGCCCTGGCCACCGCCGCCAGGCCCGGGCCCGGTGCGCCCGGTGCACGCCTGCGAGCCGCCAGCCTCGGCCGGGCTCTTCCTCGGAGCCATGACCATGGACCCCTGGGACCGATGGGAGATCCCGAATAAGGTGGGGGCCGCCCGGCCCAAGGCCCGCGACGTCCTGCGTGCCATGGCCGTGGCCTCTTGCATGATGGGCCGCGATGGGTTGGATCCGCTGGCACAAATTTGGGTCCGGGGGAGCACGGTCCTGGTGCACTTCCCCGCGACCCCGGCGCACCCTGCGGCCGCGTCCGCCGCCGCGGCCGAACTTTCGTCCGTGGCAGACATGCTTCCGGGTGACCCTCTCGCCGGGCCGGTGACCGCCGCGGCCACGGCTGCCCTGCGCTCCGGTGCCACCTTCGTCGAGTGCGAGGTGTCCCCCTCGGTGCCAGCCTGCCGGGTGGTCCAGTCGCGCTGGTTCGGGGGGACGGCTGACGCGCCACCCCCCCGGGCCCCGGCCATCCGGCTTCTCACCGCGGCGGCCGACCGTCACCAGCGCCTCGAGCAGTTCTTGCGGAATCTGGACCCTGTCATCCGACCGGACGGGCGTTTCCCCAGCCGTCGAGCTGGTCCCCAGGGCGGCAGCACTGGTGACAACAGCACCAGCGCCAACCACACCAGCAGTAATAGCAGTAGTAGTAGCAGCAGCAGCAGCAACAGCGACTATGGCACAGGTACCGAGTCCGGCGGAAAGACCCCGTCCCTCGCGGCTCGGGTGTCGCTCTGTGTGGCGCTCTTTGCCGGCGCCCCGGACTTTGAGCGGAGTTTGGCACTGGCCCGGGCCTACCAAGCTCGGTGGGCAGCCCTTCGCGCGCCTGGGCAGCATGCCCCGGCCCTGGAGCTGGAGATTCGCCAACTGGCCGGGCCTTTCCGCCAGGCGGCCGCCCTGGACGCGTGTTTCGCGCGGGATGGTATGTTTCCCCCCCCCCCCCCCCGATACATCATGCGGAATTCCGTGGGGTCCGATGGTCGCGAGCGAAACCCCCTTCATGGCTAACCCGGGGGTCATGGCTCCCCCATGGCATCAACTCGCCTGCCCGCCGCATCCATGTGGCCGGGGCCCGGGCCTGCTCCGGCAGTTGCCGCTGCGGAGGAGGGCGAGGACATTGTCATGGTGATGGATGTGGACATGGACTTCTCGCCGGGAGTGCTCTTCCAGCAGGTGGTTCGGTGGCTGGGCCCCGGGACGCCCAATGGAGGGCCCCTGGCCCGGCCCCTGGCGTCGGTTTATGCGCCGATCGTCTTCTACCAGGGCCAGCAGGCTACACGTCGGAGCGACACCAAGGCCACATCAGTCGGTGGCCGGAGCATTGCCGCGATTTGGCGCGAGGCCAAGCAACTTCTCGAGGGGGCTCAAGGGTCCAGCAGGCCCCGCATGGCCGGCGAGGACCACGCCAGCGAGACACCCGAGCATGATGCGGGCAGCGAGGACCCCCGCGGCTGGGCATCCATGGGAACCGGCATTGTGGCCGCACGGCGGGCCACCTGGGCCGATGCCGGAGGTTGGGCCGGGGGACTGGCCGTTGGCCGGGACCGGCCATTGCGCACGGACCCCGGCCTGAGGCGGCTGGTCTGTTGGTCCAGCCGCCCGACCGGCGGCCCGGACCCCTGGCTCTTTGGCGCCCGTCATGGCTGGGAAGACACCGACGCCTTCTTCCGATTGGCCATCGCCGGCGGCGGGCCAGCCCGGCTGGCACGTTGGCGCGAGCCGGATCTGGTGCACGCCTGGCACCGGCGAGATCATGCCGGGCGCCCGGAAAGCGCCCCGGGCGGCCCGCCTGGCGCGGGACCGGACACCACCGATGCCCGGCTGAGTTCCGTTGCCCGATGGTTCGACAGCACCATCAGCTCTCTGCCTGCGGTACGCACAGGCAGGAAGGCAAGCCCCCACGATCTGGGCCCCACGCATTCGGCCGGTCCACTCGCGGCGCCATGCTCTGACCATTTGTTCCCCCCCCCCCCTCCCCTCTCTTGCAACCTCTTCACCTCTTGGCGACCCATCGACGGGGACAAAATGCGGCGCATCTGTCCCCGCCCCTCGGCTCGGTCCACCGCACAGCCGCACCTGTGCCCGGCCATCCCCCGTGGGGCTCGGCTGCGTGACACACAGGAGCCCCTCTGGCGGCGCCTGGTGGCCGCCCCGGGCGCCGAAGCCTGGAACGGGGTGTACCTGTATGCGGGACCCACCGGGCCGCGTGCGGCCAGTCAGGGCACGGTGTTGGCCATACGCGAGCACCATCCGGCACGCTTGTTGCTGGGGCTCCGGTCGCCGGAGGCCTTTGCACCGACCGACGGCACGGGGAGCAGGGCATCATTGCCGGCTCGACGGGAGCTCCTCTGGGTGCCTGCCTGGCGCCCGGAAGTCCCGCAGCCGGCCCCCCGACCGGGGCCTGGCGGCGAGCCGCTGGCCGTGCGCCTGGCCCCGGCATTCCACCAGCCAGCACACCCGGACTTCGCCGGGCGCATGGTGCACATCGCTTCGACCCTTCCCTGGGCGGCGGACTGCGCGCCGGCTCGCATAGTTCAGAGTCGCCTCAGCCCCAGCAGCCCGGAGGCCGGGGCCGGTGATGGCCGCGGCGGGTGCCCGCTCTTCGCCGGCGCCAGGGCCGCTCGATCGGCCGACCGAATGACCTTCCACTTTGAATGGCCCACCCTCGAGGAGGGCGACGCCCCGGCCATTCGGCCAGGCGCCGGCCCGGCTGGGCTGTGCCTTTGCCGTCTTGTGGAAGTGCTGTCCGGGCATCGAGACCACCCGACTCGGGTGGTGGGGTGTGGGGGTCAAGTGGAGGTCTTCCTGCCGGATGCGCTGGCCCCCGCCTGTCGTGGGGCCTTCGAGGAGGCCGGCGCCGCGGCCGTGATCTTATGCTCGACGGCCTGCCTGGCTGGTGGTCGGCACGATGCCGCCGAGGCCGCCAGCCGGCCGGCCACCATGGCCTCCCTGCTACCGGGGGCCGATGTGGCGGAGGCTCTGCGCGCCGGTGCCGGCGGCCGGCCGACCGTCTGCTGGCTGGCCAACGGCGACTCGCCCCAGATCCTGGGCCGGGTGGAACTCACGCAGCTTGGCGGCGACCCGATGGACTGCGTCACGCCAGACGGAGAGGCGCTCGAGCCTTGGAGCGTTGACGACGGTCTGGTGATTGCCAGCCTTCGGACACAGCTCGTGCATCTGGACCCGAACACCATGCGTGCTGAGGCCTGGCCCGAATAGTGGCTGGGCTCTTGCCGGAGGAAGGGGACAAGGGCCGGTGGCGGTGGCGGTGGCGGTGGCGCCGGTGCCGGCGGCGGCGGCGCGAGGCATGTGTATGTGTGTGTGTGTGTGTGTGTGTGTGTGTGTGGCAACTTCCCTCCGGCACGTTTGCCTACCACATCATGCCCACAAAAATACACCATATCATCTCCAGGAGCACTGTCCGATCATCTGTGGGGGTGGCGGGGCCTCAAGGGCCGGAACTCCCGCGTATGTGTGTGTGTGTGTGTGTGGGAGGGGGGACGCGAGGTCGCAGTTCCGGTGGCAGTTCACCGAGCTGCGTGGCCGATCGGCTCTTTTTCTGCGGCCCTGGGGCCGAGCCAGGCAGGCCACGGGGGCCAGCAGATCTCCGCCGCCGCCGCCCCCCTCCCCTGTGCCCGCGAATTTTCCTCCTCTCGCCGCCGCCGCCGCCGCCTCCTCCCTCCCCCGCTCGCCCCCCTCCCCCTTCCTCCTGGAACTCAACCCCCCTGATGTCTCTTCAGCATCTGTATGGCCGGCCGAGCGTGATGACCGCGCTACGGGCCGGCATCCGGCCACTTGCTGAGCTGACCCTGCTGGTCCCGCCCGGCTACACCAAGCCCAACGGCCCGACCAAGAAGCCCCGGAAGTCGGCCGGGCAATTTGGCGCACACCAGCCCGAGCAGGACCTCACTGTGACCCGAGAGGTGGAGGCCATGGCCCGCGAGCTGGGCGTCAAGGTGACCCTCACCACGGACCGGCACACCCTCAATGCCCTGGCCAAGCAGCGGACACATGGGGGCATGGTCCTGGCAACGGGGGAGTTCCCGCTAAACAGCATCTCGCGCCTGATGGGGCCGACCCTGCCAGAGGCGCTGGCCACCGCCGTGGCTCCGACCACCCCCGGCCCGGCGGCTGACAGCGACCCCTCTGACGCCGGCAACAGTGCCACTGTCTACAACATCCAGGTGACCGGTCCGTCCGGTCGGCGTGGGCTCAAGCCCCGGAGCTTCCCGCCGGGGCTGACTGGCGGATCGACCGCCCACCACCGGTGGCCCGTGTGGCTGGCATTGGACGAAGGTGCGCATGCGCGCGCGATCCAGGCACCCCCCCCCCAGCCCACCAGGATCAACCCCTCCCCCTCTCCTGCCGTTCTATGCCCTGCTCCAGCTCACATGTCCCTTTGCTCCCCTTCCCCCCCCCTCCCCCCCCTCGCCCCTGTTGGATGCAGTGGTCGATCCTCAGAACCTCGGAAGTATCCTTCGCTCGGCATACTACTTTGGCGTCGATGGTGTGGCCCTGTGCACGCGCAACAGGTTCGTTGTCTCGGTCTTTGGTGGCCCCCGGTTGCTTGTGGTTCGGTTGTGATGGGCCCACCTCTTGCACCCCTCTCACCCCCTCTTGCACCCCTCTCCCGAAGTGCCCCTTTGTCTCCGGTAGTCAGTCGCGCCTCGGCCGGCTCCCTGGAGGCCTTCATCTCGCCCTTTCCCGATGGGAAAGACCAGAAATCCGCCCCGATTTCGGAGCGAGCCGATCAGCAGCCACTCCTGTACAATGTTCAGGCCATGACCCGGTTCCTGGCCGAGTCACGGATCAACAGCTGGGACATCATTGGCACGGTGGGGCCGGACTTCGAGCCGGATGTCCAGGGCTTGACGGCCGACAGGGCCCCGAAGCAACAGCCCCCGACGCCGACCCTGGCCGAGGCCTCGCTCGCGGCCCTGCGCGCCTCGCTCCCGGCCGATGCCCTGCCGGAGCCGGAGCCGGAGCCGGAGCCGACGCCCCGCGACCCGCAGACGCGCTTTGAGGGATCATCCAACATGGCGGACCTGCTGGTGTCCGGCCGGCCGGGCGACGGGGAATCCGAAGCCTCTTGCCCGGGGGAGAAGGTGCTACTGACTGTGGAGGATCTATCCGAGCTGGAAATTCGCCGGCCGACCATCATTGTTCTCGGGAATGAAGGCCGCGGGATGCGAACGAATGTGGCCCGGCTGTGCAACCGGCTGGTCAGCGTTCCGCGCGTGGGCCGGGCCCCGGTCTTTGCCAACTCCCTTCCTGGTGGGTCCGAGGAGGTGGTCGACTCGCTGAATGTCGGCGTGGCCACCGGAGTCATCCTGAGCGAGGTGGTTCGCCAGGCACACCGTGGCTGGACCCCCGAGTTGGGGTCCGACTTCTTCGAGCACAACCTGGCCGACGTTCAGCAGCTGGATCGGGAGATCGCCCACATCCGCAGTCTTAAGAAGGAGCAGCAGCAGCAGCGCCAGCAGCAGGAGCAGGGGCAGGATAAGTGAAAGGCCGGGCGGCTAGGCTGCCCGGGAGAATGCCCGCCTTTCCCTTGCACATCCGCCGGGCCATCGTCACACAGCTTTTCCTCTCCTCTTTCTCGGTCCCTTGTGTTGCGCCGGTCTCATGAATATAGATTGACCGGCACACATCCTGTCCACCTCTGGCTACACGACCAAGAGAAGGCGCGCAGCAGCAAGCGCACAGCAGACCCCTTTCCGGCATCGCTTCTGCCCTCCCTGCATATGACGCCCACTCCCTGCATGCCGCATCACCCCTCTGCTCAACAAAATATCCAACACATTCTCTTATATTTTTCTTCGACACCGGGAACGGGGGGGGGGGGGGCGGGGAAGGAGGTGGTGGGGCGGGATCGGTGGTGAGCCCGCCCGCGGCCCGAGGCTTCGTGCCATGGCGACTCTCGTGCTAAGGGCCTGCCAGATCCGGGTCAACTGCCAGCAGGCCTGCTGCGTGGCGGAGAGATCCAGGCATCTGTGCGCTTTTTATGTCAGAGTGCCTTTCACGGTAGACCTCCTCCTCCCCTCCGCACCTGAGATGTATCGGCCCTACGCGCGGATAGTGCCGGGGAGTTTGGGACCGTGCCGCGCGGCAGGCGCAGGGTGGGGCGAAGATGCGTGGTGGGGGAGAGGCACGGGCGATAGGGAGTCGGAGCAATCTTTATGGAGATCCTCAGCGCCCAGTGGCGCGCTGGGCGATGGAGAGAGAGAGAGAGAGAACAAGAGAGATGGTCATTGCATGGCGACATGAGGGGGACGTGGCGCCCCAGAGGACGGGGGGGAGGGATCCCATCGCGAGCCAGCGCTTTTTCGTCCCCCTGTGAATTCCCTCTCCCTCTCTCTCTCTCTCTCCCTCTGGTGGGTTCAGGCTCACAAGGAGGCGCCAGCAATAAGTGCGTTGCCCGCATGTGCGTGTGCCTGCACACGTGCATATGCTTGGGCGCGGATGTACATAATCACTTGAGAATGCGCAGGACGACATATGAAGCCGCACGGAAGAAGATCCAGAAGCAACACAGGTACACGAAAAACACGGCGCCATTGAAGCTGATATTCTGTGTGTGTGTGTGTGTGTGTGTGTGTGTGTGTGTGTGTGTGTGTGTGTGTGTGTGTGTGCAGGTTGCCGAAGGAGAGGGTTAGCATTGGTGTGCATTCGCCACCCTTGCAAGAGTGAGTGGCGCGTCTGGACACGTACCGATGCCTGGCGGACTTGGCGGCCGGTGATGTAGCCCGGGCCTCCCTCCATGCAGCCGGGGTACATACTGATTTCATTCTGGCAGCGGAAGTGCAGACTGTCTGGCATCTGGATGGCCATCATCGTTGTGAAGGCATAGGTTGTCGGGGCAATGAAGCGTGTCCAATACAACCAACGCGGGAAGACACTGTGCGGGTACGCGGGGTGTTGGGGGCCATCAGTGTGGGATGAGGTAAGATGGGCTCGGGGATGCATGCATGGCACATAGACAATAAAAAAGAGACGGAGAAAAGCCCGGTGGCTCGGTTGTCCGCTCTTGACATGGCATCCTCCCCCCCATTCGCGAGCGCGGCAGGGCGGACGGCCGGGATGGATTGTCACGAGTGTGGTACATCCCCCCATCGGGCCGCTGGCTGGCCGGCAAACGCCCTTCCCCGCCCCCGCTCTCTCCGCCTGCTCTACTCTCGCAGCCCTCTCCCTTAGTCCTCCCCCCCATGACAGAGCATACCTCAGATAGAAGCCTCCCACCAAGAGGAAAGTCAGCAGGAGGGTTGATGAGATGACAGTCACTGAGGACCGCCCCACAGAGTACGTGTGTGTACGCGCACACACACGCACACGCGCGCACGCGCGCGAGGTGAGGGGGCGATTGTCCACGGCACACGACCAGATGGAACCGAGGCGCGTCAGAAATCGTCGGACAAGCCCAGGAGCATGCGCGCTGCTGGGCGCGGCTACCCCACCGCCCCTCGCCCTGCCCGGTGGCACACGCACCCTTTTGGATGTCAAACACAATGGCACTGATGAGCAGGGCAAAGGCCTGGAAGGTCCATGTGCAGACAATCAACAAACCAGCTGTGGCGAAGAAGGCGACGGCGTTGATGCGCAGGCCGGCCATGAAATAGACGATACAAATGTACAACAGCGGCAGGAATGCCATGTACAGCATTTCCGCCACGATCTTGGCCGCATACCAGGACGACAAGCGGTAGGCCTTAGCCATGCGGTCCTTCATGATGACCAGGCGCTCGAGGGGGACTGCAGGCAGTCGAGAAAAAGGCCCACGCACATGTCAGAAAAAAGGCGTCTGCAGGGGGCGCGCGTCGTGAAGGGGCCCAGAGGAACCATGGCGCCATGATGCGAAGGCCCGTCGGGGCCAGTCGCGAGGACTTCTCTCCTTGGCCCTGCCCGCCCCCTGTGCTGCTCCATTTACCCGGTCGTGATCACTCCTCTCGCCCCTCCTCCGCCTCTCTCTCTCTCCCCCCTCCCCCTCTCTCTCTTCCTTCCTCCCTCATAGACACAGGCAAGCATCGGCCTTTCTCGACGCACAGGAACTAGTGGTGGTGACGACCGGGAAGAAGCAGAAAAGGGTGGTCGAGAAGAAAAGCAAACCCACACGATCTTGGATGGAGTTTTCCTGGAGCTTGGTCTGGAGCCACAAGAGACCCACAATGACAGACACGGCGACAATCTGAATGACCTGCATCTTGCCGAGGATGATGCCAAATTGGTGCTTGAGACTGGAGGAGAGGGGCAGCGATGAGCAAAGGGTCGAAGTCAGGGCTGGCAAGTCCGGGCTGGCAAGCCCCCCCCCCCCCCAGTGGGGTGCTTTGGGGAGGTGGCAAGTGTGCGGGAGGAAATGTACGAAAGTGCCTCACTCCCGCCCCCCCCCCCCCCTCCCTTGGGCCCGGGCGTCATCAATGTGGGAAGAAAAGGACAGTGGGAAGGCACGGGGGCGGACGTGAAATATGGACGCACCTGCGCTCAAGCAGCACAAGGAATTGCATGAGCCAGGTGCTCTGGTAGGCGCGATACCCCTCCGGGGCCCGGTCGAACATGCGCCGGAAGAAGCCCTTCTTTCGCTGGTACTCCTTGCGCTTGGGGGCGTTCTCGACGAAAAGCCGCTCATTCTCCATGGAGTCGGCATAGGCGCGATCGTAGTCGCCGGTCTTTTCGTCGATTTGGATGAGCTGCTGGCATTCGTCCTTCTGCTCGACCAAAACCTGGAGGGCGTAGTCTGCGATGTTGAAGAGCTTCGGGCAGAAGAGGTTGGCCATGGCCAGGCGCCGATGGAGGTCCTGCGGCCGGCCGCGGAAGACCGATCGGCCCTCCGCGAGGAGGGTCAGCTGGTCGAACATGTAGAAGATGTACTCCGACGGCTGGTGGATGGAGCAGATGATGGACTTGCGGTCGATGTGGGATAGGCGCTTGAGCACGCGAATGAGCGATGCCGCCATGCTGGCATCGAGGCCTGCCGGCGATAGGAGATCCCCGGGGGACGCGCGTGCGTGTGTGTGTGTGTGTGTGTGTGCGTGTGTGGGAACAGGAGGGCGAGTGAGATTAAGCTGACATGGAGCAGGCCCGAAAAAGAAAAGCCCGGCCAGAGGCCAGCCGATAACATGGTCCCAGTACGCCGGGAATATCCACATACCACTTGTCGGCTCGTCCAAGTAGATGACACTGGTGTTGGCCAGCAGCTCAGCGCCAATGCTTGTACGCTTGCGCTCACCGCCCGACACACCACGAATGCCGGGCCCACCGATTTTGGTGTTCAGGCACCGGCGAAGATCCATCAAGTCGATGATTCGCTCAAGCTATCATGAATGGGACATGTGCAGGCGAGCAACATGCAGGGGGTGTGTCCCCCTCCCCCCACTCATGATGAGTGCCATAGTTAGTGAACCGTGGCCAAGCCCCCGGAGATGCCCTCCTGCCGTCGACCGTGTGCGAATGTGTGGAGCGACATATTTCCCTCTCCGTCTGTCCCTCCCTCTCTCTCTCTCTCTTCCTCTCTTGCTCTCGCCTTTTTCTTTGTTAGTGCGCGCGCGCGCGCGCCATGAAGCGCACCATCTCGAGCTTCATCTCACGGCTCATCTCACGGGGCAGTCGAAGAAGAGCCTGGAGGAGGGGCGGGCAAACACAGCGACCATGGTTAGCATATCCTGCGACAGAGTGCCATCACTGAAGCCCCTCTTCGGCCTTGCGATAGGCCGCTCGAGTTTGCCCCTTGCACATGTGCACTCCCCCACACTTCGACCCCCCCCCCCCGTGCGGCCTGTGCTGATTGCCTTTAAATCGCCCATGCAACTGCGCGCATACGCACCGAATAGCGCAGGGTCTCCTTGACTGTGAGATGAGAGAACATGACGTCGTCCTGGGTGACAAAGCCAATGTATCTGGAAACACAGACACATGGCGATCCCCCCTCCCGGAGAGTCAGTCGCAAGGTGGGTCAACAAATGAAAAATGGCCCCCGCAGGTGCTCCACCCCCTTGGCCGCACACGACACAAGCGAGGAGAATGCCCCGGCATCCGCCCTTGGCCAGGGTGAATAGATCCCCAGCCTGTCGTCTCCCGCCCCCCCCCCCCCCCCCTTCCCGGCCTGGCCTGGGCCTTGCCCGACGACCGGATGTTGCACGCACCCGCGCATATACTTGTGATAGGGCTCGCCGTTGTAATGGAGCCAGTACTTGGCCTTGCCGGAGCGAGGCCGGTTGCCAGCCATGATGTTCAGCAGCGTGGTCTTACCACAGCCGGAGGGGCCCATGAGGGCCACCAGCTGGCCGGGCTGCACCCGACAGAAGACATTGTGCAGCAGGGTCCGACGGCCGATCTTCTTGGCAGGCAGCCAGGTGCGCGACTCTGTGGCCGAGCCCCGGGGAGCAACAAAGGAGGGTCACATTCCGACATTGGGGGATTAGTCCTTGCTTGGGCAGGCATGCGTCAGGGGCCCGGCCACAGGCACGGGCTCCGGGTTGTGTGAAAGACGCCGCCACCGGCACAGGCCGGCAGGAAGGGGCAGGGCGAGCCCAAGGGCCAGGCACGTACTCTGAATGTCCACCGTGTAGTCTTCCACCGCACACAAGACCAGGACTTCCTTGTTCTTCCACTCGGTGGGGAAGATGGGTTCCAGCAAGGATTGATCATCCTTGGTCGGGTCTTCCGGCATATTGCTGCCGGAGCCCTCCGGTCCGACATTGCCGGAAGAAATGTCACCGGGGCCGCCGGGGCCGCCGGGGCCGCCGGGGCCGCCGGGGCCGCCGCCACGGCCAGCACCACCACCGCCAGGGCCCCCGCCGACCACCTCTCCTGACCGTTGGGCCGATAGCAGGTGGCTAGCGCGCGGGGATTGGACAATGCTCAACGGGTCGGCCGGGGTCACGCCAACCGTGGAGACGGTGAGGCGTGGCTGGCCGCCGATGGAGGCCCCCGAGGCCAGGCTGGTGATCGAGGCGCCGGGTGCCGGGCCCAGGACACTGGGGACCGGGCCCAGGACACTGGGGACCGGGGCCGCGGTCACGTCGCCGGGGCCGCTCGGCGGCACCGGGCATCCTCCCACGGCCTCCGACATGCGGTAGGTGTCCAGGCGATTGGCATCGGGGATGATGCGCAAAGGGGTGCCATCGACCGCCGAGTCAATGATAACCGGCGGCACGGCGCCCGGGCTGGAGCTCTCGTGCCAGTGGAGGATCTCATGGTTGCCGCCCTCAATGCAATCGTTGATGAAGAGGGCAGCCCGGTTGTCCAGACTGCTCTGCTCATACTGCTCACGGACCACCCGGCGAAGGCTGTCGTACCGGGAGTGCTCGGGGTTGACCTCGATGCCGGCCGGGGAGTACATGTTCCGAGCGGCCTCGCCGCCATGGCGCGCCAGGCGCGACATGCCGGCCTCCTCCTGCGAGACACCGTCAATGTGGTAGGATCTTTGGGATACGCCGGCACGTGTCCGGGGCATCCAGCCCAGTGCGCCCTCCATGGTGGTCGGCAGCAAGGGGAAGGTTCTGCAGGCCCGGCGCCTGGGCGAGAAAGTGGCCAGGCAAGGGGTGAGATGGGGGAAAGAAAATTGCACAGGCGTGGAAGGCCCCGAGGCGCAGGACGGCAAGTTTTGGGGGGCCTCTTCTTCCTTTCCAAAGCCCCCCCCCCTTCGTCACATGCGGCGGGTCGTTGCTGGAAAAAAACGCACCGCGAGACGGCTGAGAGAAGTGGCTATGGGTTCGGGCAAAAAAGAGAGAGCGAGAGAGAGAGAGCAAGAGAGAGAGAGAGAGAGAGCGAGCGAGGGATGTTCTGAGACTGGCCAGACGCTTAGGCGAGCAGAGAGACAGGCAGCGAGGGAGGGGGTGGGGCAGGCGGGTAGGGGGGCGAAGGGTGTGTGTTTTCTGGGCTGGCAGGAAAAAGGAGTGCCGGACGAGGGCCGGAGGCACGGCCGTGGGGTTCCTTTTAGCGCCACCCTGGGGCCGGCTGGCAGAGAGTACCTCTGGAAGGCGGACCGGGGGATGGATGTGCCTCAGGATCCGTGCCGCTGTCGGCGTTGGAGGGCCTATTTACTTGCATGGCCGCCTGGCTGCGCGTCCGTGTGTCTGCGCATCTGGGCGTCCGCACGTTCATGTGCCTGTGTGTGTGTGTGTCGGCGTGTCGGCGTGTCGGGCTTGTGGCCAAATATGCCCATGCGCCGCAGGGCCTGTGTGCCGGTGTACACGGCAAATTCATGGCCAGAGGAGCTTGGAGCTCAAGCCCCCGGCGGCGGAATGTGCCTGGCCCGAGCTCGTGGAATGGCGGGGGCCTGGGTTGGCTGGCGCGGCGCAAGGCTTTCCCAGCTCATGTCTGCCGGGAAGGGGCTCGCAGGCGATGCGTATCCCCTCCAAAGCAAGCTCGCCCCCCCCCCCCCCCTCCCCGAGATCGGATTTCCTGCTCTCCTGTTGGTATGCTCCCCTGCCCGCCCCCCGCACGAGGGACACCAGGACCAGCTTTGGAACGCCTACACCTGCCGACACGAAGGCCGGGTAAAAAAAAATAGGCCGCGATGGGCGATCCCATCAGCTGGCCTCCGGCCACTGCGGCCAATTCAAACGACCAGGGATTGTGGGCTGTAGGTAACTGCCCCGCACCCCGTAAACGCCATGTCCGCTCCAGATCGGCGGGGGCACACCGGCAGGGAGGAGGGGGGACGGGAGCCAGGATGTAGCCTCATGTGCCATCTCCCCCGGACCCAGGGATTCGGCACTTGGTTTCCGGTGGGGGGATCTTCCAAAAGCAAGATCCCTTCCCGACTCACGGCCCCTGCACTCTCGTGGCCCCTGGGTCGCGGGGCGGCTTCTGCACGCCCACGGAGGCGCTCGACCCCAGGTGGGCAGTGGAGCATGTGCCCCAGGCTGCCCCAGGCGGAAGGCAGATGCACCAGCGGGGCTCTCTTCCGGGAAAAGAAAGGAAAAATGTGAAGAACAAGCTCGGGGACGCCCAGCCCCAACCCCACAACGAGGAGTTACATAATGTTAATCGGCATCGTGTGACCACGTGCATGGTGTGGCGCTCCGCCCCGGGGCGTGATCCATCAGCAGGCGGTGGCGCCAGCCCGGAGGATAAGTGCCAACCCTCGTCGGCCAAGAGCCCCGTCCCCCCCAAGTGCGGGACATTTGCGGGGGGGGGGCCCTGGCGCGGTGCAATTCCGGAAGAAAGCCGGCGCCGCAATGGTGTCGTGAGAGGCAGGGAACCAGCGGCATACCGCAATCCGGGCGTGTACCCCTGAGTCTCTTCGACATTTATGTCGGCCTGGCGATCTCCATCGAAAAGCGGGCCTCGGCCGCGGCCTCGCGAGGGGCCAGGGCGGGGGCCTCCATGCCGGTGGCGACACGATTGTGGGCTCTTCTATTTGGCAGGCCGCGGTTCCCGGCGGATGGACCCGGGGACCGCAGGTACAAAGCCCCACCTTGCTGGTGAATATTCGCAAAGTCCCGGCCACCACACATCCCTCAACAAAAGCACCGTTGCTCTGTTCTCCCCGGCCCTTGGCTCCCTCTTGGCCATTGGCTTGCCGCCATCGGACCTCTGGCTGCTAGACTCCACGTTGTGAGTCAATTAGAACGCGTGGAGGAGGGGGCCCCCACCACGCCCACCGGTGGGCGTGGACTCGCGGCAGGTGTGACCCCGGTGCCTGGTGGCTGCTTTGTGAAGTGCCCCGGGTCGGTGGAATGGCAGGGCCCTTTTGCGCCAAGCCCCAAGGCGAGACTGCGTGGCGCCTGGGGCGGGCCCCTGTGTGGGGCTTGATCCAAAAAGAAAGGGCCATCCGCTCGTGGGGGGGGGGGAAGAGAGAGAGAGAGAGAGAGAGAGAGAGAGAGAGAGGGAGAGAGAGGGAGAGGGAGAGGGAGAGGGAGATCCTTCGCGGCCCGAGCGGCCCTTCGGAGGCGCCGCTGGTAAGGGGAGCGCCCTTCAAGGCAGAAGCCCCAGACAGAGTCAGTAGCCGCGAGCAAATGAAAAGGCACCCTAATGGCATCTCGTGAGGCTTGGCCCCGAGGGGGAACGAAGGCCACCCGGGTGAGATGCTGCTGCCTCGGCGGGGGCGTCCCGCAACCGGCGGCGGGGTGACCTTTTGTCATGGACGCGCTGCCATGCCGCTTGCTCTATAAAGGCCACCACAGGCGGCAGCCAGCAAAACACCACTTGGCCAGCATCCCCCCACTGTAGGAGCACGCTTCCTTTCCCCCCCCCCCCCCTTTTCCTGCCATGGACACCAGCACCCTGTCCACGCCGACGGCCGATCTTTTGGCCGACTACCTGGCCCTCTTCACCCGGCAGGATGTCCGGGCTGATGTTGGCACACGACTGCAGGTGCCCTTCCCCCCAACGCCATGTTGTCCTTTTGTCCGCGCCGGCTGATCGCATGCACCCTCGCTAACATCCCGGCTTGACCTGGTGCTCCCCCGCCCCCCGGCCGGTTAGGATCTGATCGATCGGGAAAACCATTGCCGCATGCTGTTCGCGCAGGAGCGCGATCATGCCCACCTGCAGGACCCTCATTTGATGCTGATCCCCCTCTTCGGCCAGCCAGCAGGTAGCATGGTGGCCCGTGACGCCGGCGAGGAGGCGGCCCTTTCGCCGGACGGACTGCCACTCTACCGGCTGATGTTCGCCGAGACCGCCGAGACCCGGCGCTTTCGCAAGGCCCCCGGCGACCCGGTCATCACCGGCTCCCTGGATGCCTTCCACCGGAACTGGGAACTTTTCACGGAAAATTCCCTGCGCTATGTCAAGTGGGATAATGTGGTGGCGGCCGGGGGGTCCGTCTTGGCGTGCCTGATGCCGGTCTTCGACCCGGACACGCCGAGCACCTTCCTGCCGGATGCCGACGTCGCCTTCGGCCAGGTGGCCCGAGCCCGAGCCGCCATGCGGGTGGATGCATCGGTCCGGACGCTGAATGGCGCCACGGTCACCAGCCCGGGCGAGGCCATCTCCCCCAAGCGCCAGCGGTACATCTACCACAACATGCTGTACCGGTCGTCGGACATTGACCTCTTCATCTATGGTCTGGATGAGGAGGCCGCCCGGGCCAAGCTCATCGAGCTGTATGAGGCCATTTCCAATGCCATCCCCCATGCGGCGCTGGTCTTCCGGTCGAAGTATGCCGTTTCGATTGTCAGCCAGTTCCCCTACCGGCACATCCAGATTGTCCTCCGCCGGTATGCCTCCCCGGCCGAGGTGCTCATGGGCTTCGATGTGGACTGCTCCGGGGTGGCCTTCGACGGCCGGCAGGTGTATGCCGTGCCGCGTGCCCATGCGGCGCTGGTGTTCCAGCGCAACACCATCGACATGTCCCGGCGGTCGCCCTCCTACGAAACCCGACTGGCCAAGTACGCGGCCCGGGGGTTCGCCGTGCGGGCCCCCCACTTCGACCTCGATCGCGTGGATCCCCAGATCCTGGAACGGCCCCTCGACCGGGTCCAAGGCTTGGCCCGGCTGCTGGTGCTGGAGCGCCTCCGGTCGCCGGTGGCCCTTCAGACCTTCCGAACCGAGCAGCGCCTCCGCCGGATGCGTGTCGAGTCGACGGACGCCCAGTCGGCCGATGGGCTGGCTGGCGGCCTGGCCGGCAACCTCCCGGCCGATGATGACATTGACAATGGCCGCGGCGAGGGGGGCTATCTTCGCCAACAAATCGAAAGTCGCCTCAGTCAAGACGCCTTCCTGCGGGACCGGCTCCATGGGAGCCACATCAGCGAGCTGTCGGACTATGCCACGGTCTTCCTGCCCTGGGGCCCGGACTGGAATGCCAAAAACATCCGCGACCTGATGGAGGGCAAGGACTCCATGCTGAACTCGCCCTGGTTCGACCGGGGCAAGACATACCACACCCATCCCTGCTTCATCGGCCGCATGGCCACCATCATGGAGGACTGTTGTGGCTTTTGCCCGGCCTTCCCGGCGGACTTCGACATCGCCGAGTCCCCCTTCGTCCACGGGCCGTTGGTCTTCTTGGCGGATGACCCCGGCCGCCAGGCCATCGGCTCCTTCCGGCCCATCACCGACGGCGATTGGATGACATCGGCCCTCCTTGACCCGGCGGCCGACTTGCTGGCCCAGGCCGCGGCGACCGGCGACCTGGGCCTCTTCCACCGGGCGCTGGAGCTGGAGTCGGCGCGTGTGGCGCATGACCGGGCGGCGGCCCTCGCCGGCCAGGCCGCCGCCGAGCGGATCGCCGCCGCCGCCCAGGCCGATGTGGCTGCTCGGTTGGCCGAGGCGTCGGCCGCCACCGCGGCCATGCTCGACCGGGGAGACCCCTACTGCGAGGTCTCCCCGGCCTGTGCCCTGGGCCGGCGCCTGGCCACCGCCCGAAGGGCCCACACCCAGGCGCAAGAGGCGCAGGCCGCGGCCGCCCGGCGACTTGCCGATGTGCAGGGGATCCGCCTGGATGGCCGTGACTCGCTCGGCCGGACGCCCCTCATCCTGGCCGTCCTCAGTGGGAACCGGGAGATTGTTCGGGCGCTGCTGGACGCCGGGCTGCGGTCCCTGCGCGCGGCGGTGCTGCGCCTGCGGCACCCTCCCGGGCAGGCTCCCCCGGACGAGTCGGACCGCCGAGTGCTGGCCACACTGGAGCCGTGTCTGGAATTGTCGCTCCCGGAGTGCGTGCAGCCGAGTTTGTCCGAGCGCGGCGCCGATGGCCGGACGCCGCTGCACTTTGCCGCGCACTACCATCGCACGGACATTTTGGTCGACCTGCTGGAGTACAACCACCGGGTGCGGGAATTGCTGCTCGAGGCTCGGAGCCTGCGCGCTGGGCAATCACCCGAGGAGCCGGCCACGCCGGAGCCCGGGGCCTCCGCCCCCGAGGAGGACATCGACCCTGATCAGGGCCATGCCAGCCCGGATGGCGACACCATCGACCCCGAGCTCGAGGAGATGATGGAGCTTGCCGAGTCGGACGACGACTCGGGGGACGACTCGGGGGACGATGCGCTCGACGACCGGCAGCCCACCGAGACCCCCCGTCGGGGCATGGCCGATGGCTCGGGCGGCATGGCGCCCCCCGCGCGCGAGGGCTTTGTGTCGGTCGATTGCGAGGATTGGGCCGGGCATCTGACCCCCCTGCACTATGCCATCCTCTTTGGGAGTGTGGAATGCGCGCGCGTGCTGCTGGCCCATGGGGCCAGTGCGGGCCGGCCGTGCCTGCCCCTCGCCACGGGCTCCGGCGAGGCCCTGACCCCGCTGATGCTGGTGTCCTATGTCGAGGACACCGACACGGCCGTGGCCCTGGCCACCCTGCTGGTCGAGGGGGTGGACCTTGTGCCGTTGGCCGGGCAGCCGGCTGGCGGGCCAGCAGGGCGCTCGGCGCCGGCCTCCCTGGTGGACATGATGCTCACCCGGCAGCTGTCCGTGCTGGGGCTGTATGCGGCCCGGTTGCGGGCGGATTTGCTGACGGACTTCATCGGCCGGCACTTCTCGGCCGAGCAGCTGGCCCCGCTGCTGACCCATGTCACCCTGGACCAGTTGAACCCCCTCGGTCTGGCCATTCGCATCGGGTATCTCCAGGGCGGCAGCCATGGCCGCCATAGTGCGCCGGCCATTTTGCGTGATGGGCTTGGTCGTGCCCTTCGCGAGCAGCTCACCTGCGACACCGTCCGGGCGCTGCTGCGCCTGGGGGTCCCGGCTCGCGTGCTGCCCGAGCACCAGGCCGCCTCCAAGGACCTGGCCATGGCCACCTGGACCGCCGGGCTGTCCTTGCACAGTGCCCGCTGCTATGAGACCCTCCCGGACGAGCTCCAGCCCTGCTACATGGCTCTCGAGGCCCGGCTGCCCCGGGTGCTGGAGCTCCTCCTCGAGGCGGATCCCTCGCTGGCCACCCTACGCCTTTCGGGCGTCGCACTGTGCGCCGCCCCCCCGGCCCATGCCCCTGGGCCACGGCCCCATTTTGCCGCCAGCCCACACGCCCCCGGGGATGCTGCCCGTGGGCATGCTTGCCATGACTAACACACCCGGCCTGGGCCGTGCACGGCTTGCCCTCCCCCCCCCCCAAAAAAAAATGCGACTCTCCCGGCGCCCGGCGGACGGGATGACGCCCGCCGCAGCGCGCCTGCCAAGCTCCCCGACCGTCAGCTTGTCGCCCCCGCCGGCGGGGCTTTCGCCGCACGCGCCCCCCTCGGGCACGGGGCCGCCATGCCGGAGCCGGCCTTCCACCTGACGGACTCGGTCCTGGCCACGGCCGCCCGGATGGTGCAGGCGGCCCAGGCCGACGCCAGGGAGCTGGCCGCCCTCCAGGCTGCGGCTCCCGCGCTCTTTGACCTGCTCGAGCAGGTGTACTCCCATGCGGAACTTGGCAAGGCCACCGCCACCAATGAGGTGGCCATCAACGCGGACGATCTGGACATTGCCGACATCCGGGCGGCCATGCGAGTCATGCGCCGGGTCATGCGCGACGAGTACCTTGCCGCGGCGGGCCTCGCGGGCCGGCCGACCGCCGGCGATGATGCCACCATGACCGACGCCACACCGGACGCCGGCAGCATGCCGGCCGGCCCCCAGGCAGACGATGATGCCGACCTGTCCGATGCCCCGGAGCCGACCATCGACCATGAGGACTATGCGGCCGGGCGGCCGGCGGTCGACCAGTTCCTCTGGCAAGCCGTCGGCAATGTGGCCGGCCTGTCGATGCCGGAGCCCCGGCTGTCGGATCGGGATGACCAGGTTTTCCGCCTGCGCAATGCCATCCGTCTGCGGAATGGCGAGCCCCGCCTGCCCCGGGCCCCGACCGGGCTGTTCGAGCCGGCGGAGCTCTTCGACCCGGCCAGCGTGACGACCATTCGCTCGGCCCTGCGCACGCGCCGGCAAATCCTGCGGGAGATCCACCGCCACGAGGCGCTTCCGGCCGCCGGCGCGGCCCCGGGCCCCGGGGTGATGGTGACGCTTTTGCTGCACGACCTGGCCGTGGTCAATTTCATGGTCGGCCTGCCGGCCGGCGATCGACTCGACGACCGGGACCCGGCGCGCGGCGAATCCGGCCCGCTCGCGGCCGCCGACCACCCGCCAGGCCCCCTGCATCGGTTGCGGCCTGCTGCGCGCGACGCCCTCGACCGGGTCATGGCCGCCGCATCCGACGGCCTGTTGGCCCGGCAGCGGGAGGACTTCCGCCGGCTGGGGCTCATGCATGAATTGCTGGCCCGGCATCTTGGCACGCCGTGCACCTTCCCCCGGCGGTATCCCCCTGCCGGGGACCGGCTGGCGCCCCGGGCCAAGCGCGTGTGGGCCGCCGGCTACGACGACCCCGAGGCCCTGGCCCAGCATCTGGTTCAGGAGGTGGCATTCCGCGCGTGGGCCAAGGTCACCGTGTCGGTGGCCGAATGCCTCCTCCGGAGCCTGACCATGGAAGCCATCCAGGCGGCCCTGGACCGGGAGTTCGAAGGGCACGAGCGCATGGGCACCTGCCCCCAGCTGGGGGCCTTCATCAGGCGCCTCGCTGGCGCGATGCTGGCCCGGGTCCCGGGCACGCTGGAGGCGACCATGGGCCAGGATCGCCACACGTCCGATTGCCGGGCCTTCGGCCCGGGCAGCGGCCAGGGGCCCGGTCTGCGGGTGGGCTTCCGGGCCGGGGGCCACCCGGTCCAGGGCCCGGCCAATGAGGCCATCTACCGGGCCCTCTTTGAGGCGGTCTTCGCCGGCGACACGGCCCTTGTGGCCCACTTGACCGACACGACGGCGCACGGCCCGCGCGTGGCCCTGGTGGACAGCTGTCTGAGCGGGTCATCCATGACCACGCCCCTTCGGGTGGCCCTGCGGTTCTTGCCCCGGCCCGCGGCGATGGTGGAGCTGCTGCTCGCGCGGCTGGCTTGCCAGTACCGGCCGCGTATCAGCGCGGCGGCGGTGCGCGTGGCCGCCGCCCAGGCGGCCGAGTCGCCCGGGGCCGCGGCCAAGCGCGCCGCCCGCATCAGCACCCTCGACTTCTTGGCCATGACCTTCGGCGATGGGCCCGACCAGGCCCTGGACTATCTGGATGAGGAGCCGGCCCCGGGCCCGGGTGCCGGCCATGCCGGGGGGCCAAATGCCCCGGCGGATGTGCCCCCCTCGCTGGGCCTCGGCCGGGGCCGCGGCAAGATGGCCCACCGGGCCTTTGCCCGGGCTTACCGGGCCAATTGCCGGGCCCAGAGCACGGTGGCCAGCACTGGCGCCTCGGCGGTGGCGCGGCCCGGGCCCCGGCACGAGGATGGCCACTTGCGCTTCAGCTCGACCAGCCCGCTGGAGCATCTGGCCACCTTGCATACCTTCATGCCGGCGGTTCGCCGCCGGCCCGGGCACACGGATGCCCAATTGGCCGGGCTCCAGCTGCTGGTGCCCCCATCATGCAAGCTGTCCCACCGGCGCCGTGCCATGATGGCCAGACATTGGCAGCACTTCCGCCATCGCCATGTGGCCCTCGGCACGGACCCGGTGCCGGGGCTGGATGAACTGGCCCGCCGCGATGACCGGTGGGCCCGGGTCCCCGGGCCGGGGGACACCCCCGGCTGGGAGTTCCTCACCCAACTGCTTTCCAGCCAGGCCCAGCCGGACGAGCCCTCCCGGCCGGAAGTCTGCATGAATCTCCTGGGCGAGACGCTCTTCCATGCGGCCGGGCTTGCCGATGGCGCGGAGGAAGCCCTGGCCCTGGTGCTGGCCATGCTCAATGGCTTGCGTTTGGTGGAGGACACCGCCACCCGGCTGGACCGGCTGGCGGCCCGGATCCAGGGCCACTTGACCTATGCCCCGGGGCTGATGCAGCTGCCCGAACGCCTGATGGCCAACATCGCCGCCGGGGCCCAGGTCAGCCCGCCGCCCATGGCCATCGCCATGGCCATGGACATGCCGCGACAGGTGGTTCTGCTGCTCCTGCGGCGCTTCGGCGGCGGGGTCAACTTCGCGCTGTGGCCCCTGCCGGCCGATGTGCCGGTGGCCGCGGCCCGGCGCCATACGGTCCTCACGCGGTCATCCAAGACCCAGCTGTTCGCCGCCCCGGCCGACGGCGGCGAGGGCCTCGCACGCTCATCCCGCAACATGCTCACCTTGGTGGCTCTGTCCGGCGGCGCGGGAGCCCGGCCGGAGGGCTTCGAGCATGTGGACCCGCCGGCCATCATGCCCGCGGGTCCCCTGGCCGAGAAGCACCCCTTGAGCTTCCTGCCCCCGGTGACGGTGGCCCTCCTGGCCGGGCATCGGGACCTGGCCGGGTGGCTGGCCGCCGACCCGGCCCCGCGACAGGCCTTCCGCGACTTCTGGCACCGCAAGCCCGCCCGCCGGCCGGTGGCCGACCTGTCGCTGGCCGGGCAATTCCCCACCGTCGACCAGCTGGCCCTGGTGGTGCCGGACACCGAGCGCAGTGTCCTGCGGGCCCTCGGCCGGGAGGTCCTCCTGGATGTGGCCCCCCTCGAGCGGGCCCTCTTCCGCCTGGACACCGTGCTCAAGGTCCCGGCCCGGCCCGGCGAGGAGCGCACCCACACGGAGTACACCACCGCCGTGGCGGCGGTCACCATGCTCAACAGCCAGCCGGCCGCGGCCCTGCTCCGGGAAATCCTCACCGCCGAGCCGTACGGCCTCGGCCCCGGCCAATTGGCCAGCCTGGCCGGCACCGGCCTGGCCCTCGATTCGCAGGCCCTGCCCAACAGCCTGGCCGCCTGGGTGGCCGGCTCGGCGGCCGACGACCTGCCCCTGGTGGCGGTTGAAAGCCACGACGTGGCCCTCAGCCCGTTGGCCCTGGCGGCCGGGCTCGGCCTCGCCGGCGCCACGGCCGGCCTCCTGGCCGACCTCCATGCGGATCCCTCCCAGGAGGACCCCCTCCGCGGCTGGACGCCCCTGCACCATGCGGCATACTCGCACCAACCAACAATAGCCGGGCTGCTTCTGGCCACGGTGGCCGCGCGCGCCGGGGCCGACCCCCTGGCGGCCGTGCGCCGGGCCATCTTCCATCGGAGCCCGGTGTCTGGCCTGAGCGCGGTGCATCTGGCCGCCGAGCGTGATGCCCATGGGGTCCTGCGGGAAATGGCCCTGGCCCTGGCGCGCGCACGCTTCCACACCTCGGCCCCCGATGGGGGGCACATCCTCCGCGCCCAGGCGGAGCTCTTCCAGCCGGAACACCACACCACCTCCGGCCGGGACTCGCCGCTGCATGTGGCCCTGCGCTTCTCGCACTTCCTCCTGACCGTGGAGATGCTCCTGATTTTGGCCGTCGAAACCACGGTGGAGCATGGCCCGCGTGATGCCGGGCCCCTGGCCGATGCCCTGCTCCGGGCCATGGGCACTTCGGTCGGATGCCTGCGCCATGCCGCGATGCCGGGCGGCCCACTTGCCGGGGTCCATTGGCCAGGCCTCGCCCGGGCCCTGTTGACGGAAAATGCCTCCGGCATCACGGTGGCCGACCATCTGTTCGCAATCGACCGGCAGGCTCTCGCGGCCAGCCACATTTCCGCACCCCACCAGCCCTTCAGCAGCCAGCCTCTGCGTTGCTCGGACCTCACCCGTGCCCTTGGTGTGGAGGCCCCGGTGGCCGGCGCCACCGGCACGGCGCACTTCACCTCCATGGGTCGGCTTTTCAGTGCCCTGCGAGTCCTGGCCAGCGTGGTGGCCTTCGCCCCCGGGGCGCCCTGTCGCTTTACCATCCGGTCATCCGACGCGCGCAGGGCCCTCTTCCATCTGGCCGACCAGACCATGCTGCAGTTTGAGCGCATCAATTCCAGCGATCACTACCAGGACGAAGAGGACCAATACTACACCGGGGCCGATCCCTCGCTGGCCAGCAATGGGCTCCTGCGGATTGCCTGCTTTGAGGGCAAGCCAGCTCGGCCGGACCTCACCGCCGAGAAGGCCATCCCCCTGCCGCTGCTCCTTCGGAACCTCCTGGTTGATGCTTGACAGAGGCCGCCCCCTTGCGGCCCGCCGCAGACCCACGGACATAGAAGGGGCTGGGCGCTGGCCGCTGGGGGCTGGGGGGGAGAAAAAAAGAAGCCGAATCAGGCAGCGCATAAAAACGCATGGGGCTGGGGTCTGTCCTGAGATCTGTCCCTCTCCTCCGTGGCTTTTTTGTTTCCCCCTTCGCACACAAGACAATACACAATGTCCCTCATGGCCTTCTCGTGCCTCCTCCATCATGGTCGGTGGTGCTCAGCCGAGCATATGTCCCCGCCGGCCACCGACCGCACATCGGCCCAGCCAAAAGTCGGGAGATGGCCCCTTGACGCCGAGACCCGTGGCTGGTCCCCGGTCTGGGGAGGTCCTTCCGCTCGATCACCCTTCCTCTCAAGACAACGGGTCCCACGGCGTTGGGTGCCCCCTCGAAAGGCCAGCAGCGAGATGCCGCCGTCTGGCCGCGTCCCAGGACAGTCCCTCCTGGCCACGGATGATGCCCGCAAGCAACTCCCCCAAGAGGGTGCGGGCGCACATTCGAACCAGGGGCGTTCTCGCTCGGCTCACGAGCATCCCCCCTGGGGGCAGGGGGGGGGGGGGGCACGTGCATTGTGCCATGTGCATGTCTCCTCGCCAGCGCAGGCGAGCCTGCTGGGCCAAGAAGCGTGCCATTGGCCAGCATCAGCACAACCGAAGGAAAACTGGCCGGGGCGGCATATGCCCCCCCGGCGAGGGTGGAGCAATACCATGGGCGTTTTACCGCTGCGCCCTCCCCCAAACAGGGGATTCATTCCCCCCCCCCCCCCCCCCCCTCCCCCCCCCACAGCCGCCGCAGGAGGAGGAGAGTGCGGGCTCCAGGAAAGCCGGGGGACAATCGTGCTAGTAAAAAGTGGTTCTGGAGGCGGAGGGTATCGATCCCCCTGCCTGCCGCATGCTAAGCGGCCGCTCTACCATTTGAGCTACGCCCCCCAGATGATGGCTTTGACCCACACATTCGGCTATTTATTCTTTGGATCAGATCGGTGCTGGTGTCTGATTCTCCGGGACCGGCGGGCGGGCGTCCGAGAGCCACCCGACCGAGGGGTATCATGTCCCGAGAGAGAAAGAGAGCGAGAGAGAGAGGGTTAGGAGGCCAGCAAAGGACATCATGCGGAGAGGGAGGAGCTGGCCGTCTGTATCCTTTTGCGGAATGCGGCAGGGACTGAGGCACTCCGCTCGTGGGAGGAACCACATCCAGAAGCAGGGCAACGGAAAGTCGCAGTCTCTACAAAAAGAATGGTCAGTACCAGGAGTGCTGACACCTTGGATGGGGGGCGGGGGGGCGACACTTTGGGTGCACGCATGGCCCTTCTTGCAGATTTATAGCAGAACATGACTGGTATCTTTCAGTAGCTCCCATATAGTCTAGGTGGTTAGGATACGTGGCTCTCACCCACGAGACCCGGGTTCGAGTCCCGGTATGGGAATTCCTTTTTGGGCCCTCTTTTGAGTCGGGCACCAAGCCTCGGCAAAAGACCGAGGGATCTTACCTGGGGGGGGCGGTGTTTGGCGAGGGGGGGGGTGTGTCCTCCTGGGTCACAAAAAGGGGGTGAGGGGGGAGAGAGAGAGAGAGAGACCATATACAGACCCCATTCAAAGGCGCCAGCCATAAAACCAAAGGCTGGGAGGCATGGACGCCAAAAAAAAAAAACACTTGGCAAGGGACCGGGAAGAGAGACCATCATCCACAAACCACAGGGAGCGCCGACCAAATGGATCTCCATATCCACCTCGCAAACGGAAAGGGGGCGCTGCCTTGGGCAAAAGAAAAAAGCACAAACACTGGGCAGCAGAAAAGGGGACAAAGGAAAAGGCGAGGGGGACGGTCCATCAGACACGCACACACACGCACACACACACACGCACGCACGCACACACGCACGCACGCACACACGCACACACGCACACACGCACACACGCACACACGCACACACGCACACACACACACACACCATCCCCATGCCTGTGCGTGTCTCTCTCTATGTCTAGGGTCTCTATTTTTCTCGAAAAGCAATCATCGCGGCGACTATGGGGTCGGCCGGCCGATGAGCGACGCAATCGACACAGCATCCTTCGCCTTCTGGGCTGCCAGGTCCTGGCGGTGGGCCAGCACCAGGGGCGACTCGTGGGGGAGGAAATGCGCGAAGTACCCCGATAGGGACAGGGGCGACGCCGGAGGGGCATCCTTGCCATGGCCCGACGCCATTTCCCGGGACAAGGAGACAGACGAGGCAAAGGCCGGGTCCAGATGCAAGGCATCAGTCGCCAAGAGCGCGGTCACAATCTCCTCATCGACCGACAGAAGAAGGCCCATGTCCTGGTGCGTCAGCTTCGGCACCACCCTGCACAAAGCCGCCAAACGCTCCACGCAGGGCCACTCCTGGCGCTGCATCAGGCGATCGGCCACACCTGCCTGGTAGACCAGCGCGTGAACCTGCTCCGTCGAGAGGCCCAGCAGCCGGGCCAACAGGGCCTCCGGCACCGGCGGGTCCCGGGCCACCAGTCCGCTGAGATCGCGCAAAAGATCGGCCACTTCCTGATCCGCCAAGATCCCATGCCGCTGCCGGGGTGGCGGTATCCCGAACTTCACCGGCGGAAAGGCCTCCACCAAGGTCTGCAGCGATACCACATCCATCCCCAGCAGCCGGGCCACGTCCTCCTCCAAGGGCTGCGGCTGGGGCAGGCCCTGAAGGCGCAGGAAGAGACGCAGGCAGCTGGGGGTCTGGAAACCACTGGCCAGCGCCACACGTCCAGCCTCCACATCCAGGCAGAGGGCCTCCCCGGGGTTGATGCGCACGCGCGGAAGAGCAGCACCGGCCCCCGGGATCTTGGGGTCGGCAGCCGGGGCCTGGAAGAAGGATGGCAACGGAAGGGGAGGGCTTGGAGAGTCGGGCCGCTTGGTGGGGATGTTCAGGGCTTCCAGTCGGGTCGCGAGCGAGGGGTCGAACTCCGGGATGGAAGGCAAGAAGGGAAGAGACCCGCTGGAAAAGGACCGGCCGAGGAGGGGCCGGACGACCAGGTTTAGCAGAGGACGCCGCCCGGTGCGCAATGTGGCAATCCCCAGCATGCTTTTGGTGGGCGACTCGGGCGGGAGTCCAGAGCGAGAAGGAGAGACAGAGGGGGGGGGGAGGGGGGGCGAGCGAGAAGGAGAGACAGAGGGGGGGGGGAGCGGGGGCGGGGGCGAGGGGGAGGGGGAGGGGGAGGGAGGGACGAGGGAAGGGGAGGGACGAGGGGAGGTGGAGGGAGGGACGAGGGGAGGGGAGGAGGGGCGCAATCTTGGAAACTGTATGGCGAGGAAATTGCCCCCCCACGGCCCTATCAATCTCGCTTGCGACCACGCGCTTCACTCTGTCGCTGCCCGCCCCCCGGCGGTCGGACCGCCGAATGATCAGGGATGCAAAGCCAAAGCCGCACACTGTGGGTGGGAAGAGAAGGGAGACGTGGGGGGGGGGGCGGCGGCCGGGAGCCACAAGCGATCGGGGTGGCGGGGCGGTGTGTCCCCGGCGCGAATGTCCAGTGATCTGAAACGGCATTTCGTGTTCCGGTGATTCAGCTTGCATTTTCGCCTCTGCCCTTTGCGCCTCCCAGTGGAATGTGCCATTCCTCTTAGCCAGGCAACTTGTGCCGCCGGATGGGCCCAATATTTGGCTGCTGCATGTTTGTCGCCCCTTCCACGCCGCGGGGAGCGTTGCCCCTCTCAACATCCTCGCCAGGCGCGGGCGAAGGGCCGGGCGTGTTGTCGGCATCCCCGAAAGTGCGTCCGCCGCAGCCTGGCCCCCCCCCCCCCGGATCCTCCCCACGTCCATATACCGAGGGCACTATTAATACCGGGTGCCCGTGTCGGAAGAACCTTTCAGGGGGCTCCGGCGTGAGAGCCCTCGCCGTGGTGGGGACAGACCATGATCCATCCCCCTCCGTGGGGTAGATCGATGTCCCCGCGCATTTGGCTGCGGCGCATGGGCGCGTGCTCTGGCGGCCTCTTTGCCCCGGCGCATCTGGGCGTCTTGTCACGCCGATGTGTCTTGGCGCTCGCGCCTACATGCGTCTGTGTTTCCTGGACGATCCCCGGGGAGAGTTGGCTTGAGGTGGCTCCCCGCGGATGTGGGGGGGGGGGGGGGGGGGGACGGAGGGGAGATGCGGCGGAGAACCGAGTTGGTGGGTTGCGGGGCGCGGATGCGGGGGAGGGGCGCGGGGCGGCCTCTCGCGCGGATCAGGGGGCCCTCGGTGAACTCCCTTCGCCTGTGGCCCCTAGCTGGTTCCGCGGAAAAGAAAGGGACCTGTATTCCTCCACGTGAAGTCCCGCCGGCCAGGATGCGCCCAGGTGCCTGGCCGATCGCGTGTACGCTCGTCAGGCCCCATGTCCGTTCCTGGGGGGCTAATGGTCGCCCTGCCCTTGCCTCCCTGATGCTGGCCGGTACCGCCGTTACCCGGGAGGCCCCGCCTGAAGCTGCGCGCGCTCGGGCACACACGCGCCCGACTCCCTGCCGTGGGAATCCGGCGTGCTTGTGGGTTGCCTGAAGGTGCGAAGTGCAGGGACCCCTCCTCCCCGGCCTGGGCCAGGGGATCCGCGGGGGCGGGCGGCGGGCGGCGATGTGCACGGATGGCAGACGGGGGACATGTCGGCCGGTGACTGGATGACTCCCCCCCCCCCCCCCCCCCCCCCCACCCCACCCACACCCACCCCCACGCACACGCACACATGCAGTCGCACACACGCACACGCGCACACACCCTTTTCGGCCCAGCCTCCCCGGAAATTGACTTCAGGCCTGCTTGTCGTGTGCCCGTCAGCACACACTTAGCCGCCAAAGTAACATGGGCCTGCTCCCGGCCAGACCCCTCGGGTCCCGGACATAACCCCGTCCCCGCCAATCGAGCCTGGTCCATTCTCGGAGAGGAGGGGGGCCGGATGCCCTCCAGGAGGCAATGGATGCCCACCACGCGCCCCCCTTCACCCAGGACCTGGTCTCGATTCTCGGTACCCGGGGGCGGGCGACAAGGCAGAAGGCCAGCATGGCCCGATGGGGGGGGGGGATCATGGCTCTGGCCCCCCGAAGAGGCGAGCCCGGGCCAGTGTGCCGATCAGTCCCGAGAGCCCGTCTCGGGCAATGGGCGCGCGTATAAGAGTTTGCCCGCTCCCCAGGGAGTCCCACATGGGCTCGAAGGGCATCACTTCACTGTCCCACCCTGCGCCCCATCCCCCGCCCCAGACTCATGCCTTCGTTTGTCGCTCGCGATCCCAGACAAGGCGTTGCCGACCGCAGGATCGCGCGTGCCCCCCTCGCTCTTGCCCTCTACGGGTGATTGGCCGAAAAGCCTGGCTTGTGTCTGAGGCTCGCCTTTACGACCGGACCTGGCCGCCTACCCGCGCCCATATGCGCCTGACACCCTCGATCCCTTCGCCATACAGGGTGTGCCCCCGCCAGATGCTCCTCCTCAGGCAGTTGCTCCTGGCTTTGGCCGTCCTTACCCTGGTCCATCCGCATGCTCTTGCCGCCGAGCTGCCCAGCTTCGCCCGGACATCGACATCGGCCCCTGTCCCCGCATCCGCCACGGGCTCATCCTCTAGCACCTCCAGTGCCTCCAGTACGCCTGACGCCCGCATTTGCGCCTGCCTTGCCGCCGCCCAGCCCTGACCGCCCCCCCCCCCCTCCCCCGAAAGACAACCCCCCCAGTGAGCAGCAACCCTGCGCCGGGGGCCTCCTCCGCTGGCCGGATGGCACGTGCCATGAGAGCTGCGCACCTGGCACCTTCCTCCATGGAAAGCCCTTCCCGCGGTGCCTGGCCTGCCAGGATGGGTGTCTTGCCTGCACGTCCGAGTCACGCTGCACCGACTGTCAGCCCCCCTTGCTCCTGGAACGGGGCGCCTGTGTTCCGGAATGCACCGCCGGCCAGCCGGACCCCCTGGGCACTGCGTGCATTGTGTGTCACGACCCGGGGTGTGCTCGGTGCTCCGGGCCTGGCGCCCTGCAATGCCTTGCCTGTCGAGCCGGAGCCGGTGTCCTCTCCGGCGGCCAGTGCGCGGCGGAATGCCTACCGCACAACAGCTGGTTCGCCATGGCCAACACCACGCCCGAAGAGGGGCAGCATGATGAAGAGGACAAAGATGACAGCCACAGCGATGACACCGACGACAGCGACGACACCGACGACACCGACGACAGCGACGACAGCGACGACGATGCCACCGATTACGATGATCGCTGCGAGTCGGGCACCGACAGCGGAGACCGGAAGTGCGGTGACAGCGGCAACTGCATTCCCAATGGTGCAGGCGATTGTCCGGGCCATTCCAACGGGCAGCCTGCATCGGGCTCCCGCACCACATACCCGACTGTGGCCGAATGCTCGCGCGTTGACCAGCACTGCTCCGCGGTCGATGGCAATGTGGCCGATCGCTGCAAGGCCTGCAAGCCTGGCTTCTTTCTCCGGTCGAGAGACCACGCGTGCACCCCCTGCCCGGATGGCTGTGCCGCATGCACCGAGGACGCCTGTGGCGCCTGTCTCGACGGCCTGATCCTCCAGCCGGAGGGACAATCTTGCGCCGACCATTGCCCCACAGGCTTCTTTCACGACTCGGCTTCGCGGGGCTGCCTGCCCTGCGAGGATGACGGGTGTGCTGCCTGTGCCGGGCCCGGCGTCGGACAATGCCTTCTCTGCCGAGGCCCCTACCTGCCCACAGCCTTGGCCCCCTCGGCATGTGTCAGCTGCGCCAAGCTGCCGGAGAGCTGTGCCCAATGCGAAAGCCCCAACCGCTGCGCCGTGTGCGCCGCCGGGTACATGCGCTTCGAGGGGGCGTGTGTGGCGGCCTGTCCGGGGGGCACCTTCGCCGAGGTGCCCTCTCGGCGGTGCATCCCCTGTCACCCGGCCTGCCTGGAGTGTCTGGGCCCCGGGGCCGACGACTGCTCGGCCTGCCAGCAGGGGTACCTTCCCGGCCCCATGGCCGATGCCCAACGTGGAACATGTGTCCCGGAGGCCTGTCCCGACCGATTGGACCACTTCGTCCTCTACAGTGGGTCCGGCCCGGCATGCCCCTGTGGTGGCAACCCGCCCGGTGGGGCATGTGCCAGTTGCTTCGCCGGCTGCGAGCCCTGCACGACCTCCTGCCACGCGTGCCACAGCGAGTGTGCCACCTGCCGCGGGGCGGCTGGCTCCGGCTTTTGCACATCCTGCCCCTCGGGCCGTGTGCTCCAGGGCTCCCGGTGCCAGGCAGCCTGTGATGCGGGGTACTTCCCGCGAGCCGGCGCTTGCCATCCGTGCGCCGGCCAATGCACCCGGTGCTCGGCGGCCGAATGTCTGGCCTGCCCTTCGGGCATGGTGCCTCTTGGAAACCGCTGCGTGGCCTCCTGCCCGGCCGCCACGCATCTGCTCAAGGAGGGCCGCTGCATCCCCCGGCCCCGTGGCTGTGCTGAGGTTCTTGCCGATGGGCTTTCATGTGCCCGCTGCCAGCCGGGGCTCATCATCCAGCCCGATGGCGGCCACTGTGCCGCCACCTGCCCCACTGGCTGGTACCTTTCCCCCTCCACCGGGGCATGTCACCAGTGTCCGAGTGACTGTGAAAGCTGCACCGGCCGGGCCCCACCCGGTGGCAGCATGGCGCATGGCCCCTCCTCGGACCCTGTCGCATGCCTCTCCTGCCCGGCCGGGCGGCCCTTGCGCCTGCATGGACGCTGCCTGGAGGCCTGTCCGCGGGGGCACTTCCCCCATGCCGGCCATTGCCTGCCCTGCTTGCCCGAGTGCGACACATGCACCAATGGCAGGACCTGTGACACGTGTGCCGGAACTCTGCTGAGCTTCGAGGGGCTCTGCTTTGGCCATGTGCCCGACGGGCTGTACAGGACCCCTGGCGACAACCGGATGGAGCGCTGTCCGGCCGGGTGCGCGCGCTGCACCGCCAGCCACCCCGCCGGCCAGCAATCGGCTCGCTGTGTCGAATGCCTGCCGGGCTTCTGGCCGCAGCTTGATGACACCTGCTCTCGGGCTGGCTGCCCGACTGGCACGACACCGGATGAGGCCTCGGGACAGTGCGCGCCGTGCCCGGCCGGCTGTGCTCATTGCACGGATGCCGACACATGCGCCATTTGCCAGGCCCCACTCTACCTGGCAGGAGGTGCTTGTGTGGTGGCCTGCCCGGAGGGCATGGCCCCGGAGCCGGCCCGACCGGAAGATGTCCCGGCCACCGGGCCCGGAGGCGTGTGCCTTTGCTCGGCCAGTCCAGGGTCCGGGCCCGGGGACTGTGCCACGCCCACATGCCCCCCGGGCGAGACTCTTCACCATGGGGCCTGCCATGCGTGTCCGGAGGGATGCGCAGAGTGCGTGCCTCGCAGCAACCGCGAGGGGAGCCCCTGCTGCCGGCGCTGCTTGCCCGGGTTCCTGCTCTTCGAGGGCCTATGCCAGCCGGACGTCTGCCCGGCAGGCTCCGTGCAATTGGACCCTCACCTCGGGGAATGTGTCCGGTGTCCGGAGGGGTGTGCCACATGCACATGCTCCCGCCGGACCGACGCACACTGCTGCCAGACCTGCTTCGCCGGACACCTGCTCTTCGAGGGGACTTGCCATCACACCACTTGCCCCGAGGGCACCTTCCCCGAAGATGGCGTCTGTGTGGGCTGCGCCCCGGGCTGCATCGAATGCCAGGATGCCACGCCGCAAGCGTGCGCCGAGTGGGATCCCGCCTTCCGGAAGGGTATGTCACTCTTTGTCGGTTTGTGTTTTGGGCCGGGGAGGGCTTGATCGCGCACGCGCACAAGCACACACACACACACACACACACACAGCACCAGGCCTTTTCCCGCATTCTCTCAACTCCAGCCAGGAGCATTTTCTCACATCATCCGCTGGCTATTGCTTGGGGCTTGGGCACTGGGGCGCCGGACCGGGATGATCCCATCGCGTCCTCGGTCGGACTCCGATTTGGTGGCACTCATCTAGCCGTGCCTCGGGGCGCGATCGCCGGCCTGGCAGTCGGCATGGTGGCCGCCGCTGTCCTCCTGTCTGCCCTCGTCCTGGCCACCCTGAAGATGGTCATTGTTCGTGGCACCAAGAAGGCCAACTCCAATACGTCGATAGTACGTGACGGCGTGCATGCCTTGGCCAAGCGCATGGCGCCTGCTTTTTTCCCGTCCCTCTCCCGGTGATCTCGTTGCCTTTCCGGTGCGGGTGGTTTCCCCGGTGACTGACACCCTTGCATCCCCCACTCCACACCTATTTAGGAGATGATTTAATGTCACCCCTGGCGTAAGCTATCCGCCCTCTCGCCCTGCCGGCCGCGTTGGCCTCCAGATGATGCCCCATCTGGTGTTTCCTATTGCCCTTGCTCTTGTGTCTTCTGCCTTGCCCCTGCCCGTTCCTCGACTCAATGGAAACCCCGGCCAATATAAAAAAGGTAAAGCCCCAGCCCTATCCATGGCGCCGGTTCATTTGGCTGGCGAGGGGCCACACCGCAGCAGACAGGAGGCTCGCCAAATTGACAACGCGAAAGGCTGGGAAATCGGAGGGCGGGGGGGGGGGGCGGCCACCCCGGCTTGAGAAGTTGACAGACAGGGGACCGGACCCGAGGATCAAGGGCCCATCAGGAGACAGAGCACCGGTCCAGCCGGCGAGGCGACACGGCGTCTGTTGGCCACCAATCAGGCGATGATCATGTCCGCAGGCACATTCATCTCGAAGGAGCCGATCGAATTGCGGACCTTGCGCTGAGCTGCGCGGTTCTTGAGGACCACAAAGACGACGATCGCCACAACAATCAGCAACAGGGGAATGCCAATAGCCAGGCCAAGGATCAAGGGCACTGCGTGATGGCGGGGCAGGGCGGGGCGGGGCGAGGGGAGGGGGACACAGGGAGGCCGGGATTTGGCGGAGAAGCCCATTGTCAGATCGTGCCAAGGGAGGCTGCTGGCGAGGCGTAAAACATGTCCATAAGCATGCATCTCCTCCAGAGAGGGAAATACACCCCGAGAGACGGATGAAAATGGTGTCTTTCGAATGGGCGGAAGGGCGGGGGAGATGGTGGAACAGGTAACGTACAGTTGCTCCTCGCGGCGCAGCCACCGCTGTCGCTGCAGTCGGGCGGGCCGCTGCAGCCCTGATCATTGGGCCCGGTGCAGCTGGGGCAGGAGGCATTGCACTGGGCGCACTTGCCAGCCGCCACCACGGCATACCAGCCCCCGGGGCAGGTTGCCACACATGAGGCGGAGCCTGGCCCCACCAACAGGAGCTTGCCGGCCTCGCACGAGACGCACTGCTCGGGCGACCCCGGGCACGAGGCACAGCCTGCCGGGCAGGGCAAGCAAGCGCGCGCAGCCGGGTCGGTGTGCCAGCCCATCGGACACTCGGTCTCCTCCGCCGGCAGGCATGTCCCCTCTCCGGTCAACAGGAGCCGATCGTCAAGGCATGCCCCGCACTCGGCCGGAGTGGTTCCCGTGCAGGCGGCACACCCGGCCGAGCAGGGCCTACAGCGCTCGGCACTTGGAGACTCGTCGAAGAACCATCCTGACGGGCAGGCCAGGCTGCCAGGCGGCAGGCAGGTCCCCTCGCCCTCAAGCTGCAGGCGGCCCTCGGCGCAGGAATCGCACTCCGAGGCGCCGGGGCCACGGCACTTGGCACAGCCCTCGGCGCAGGCATTGCAACGCTTGGCGTCCAGGAGATCGACGAGCCAGCCGGCCGGGCAAGCGGCTTCTCCGGCGGGCAGGCAGGTCCCCTGGCCGGCGAGCAGCAGCCGATCATCGAGGCAGGACAGACACTCACCCGGGGTGGATCCCGTGCATGAGGCACAGTCGGCGGAGCAGGATCCACAATGTGTGTTGCCTGTCGACCCATCGAGGAACCATCCGGCCGGGCAGGCTGTCACCCCGGCCGGCAGGCAGGTCCCCTCGCCGCGGAGCTGAAGGCGGTTGTCTGCACAGACCTGGCAAGCCCCGGCGGTCGGCCCGGTGCATGTGTCACACCCCTCGGCACAGGGGCCGCACATGTTGCTCCGCTCGGCATGCCGATACCAACCGCTCGGGCAGTCGGTGATGCCGGCCGGGAGACACGTACCGGCGCCCTCCAGCTGGAGGTGCCCCGAAGCACAAGATTGACACTCAGACACGGCAGACCCGGTGCAGACGTCACACCCCTCGGCACAGGCTCCACAGACCCCCTCGTCCGAGGAGGCCAGGAACCAGCCAGCCGGGCAATCGACTTGCCCCGCTGGCAGGCAGGTGCCCTCGCCCTCAAGTTGCAGACGCCCCCCGGCGCATGTGACACAATCCGAGGCACCCAACCCGTGGCAAGTGTGACAGCCCTCGGCGCAGGGGCCACATTGTCTGGCGGTGGAGTTGCTTGCGAACCAGCCGGCCGGGCAGGTGGTCTCCTCGGCCGGCAGGCAGGTGCCCTCGCCAAGCAGCAACAGCCGGTCGTCCATGCAGCCGGTGCAGGCTGCCGGCTGCGATCCCGTACAGACGGCACAATCGCCGGCGCAGGCGACACAGCGCTTGGCCTGAGGGTCCTCCAGGAACCAGCCGGCGGGGCAGTCGGCCTGCTCGATCGGCAGGCAGGTGCCCACGCCGTGCAGCAGCAGGCGCCCATCGACGCAGGCCTCGCACTCGGCCGCCGATGGCCCGGTACAGGCGTCACAGTCGGACATGCAGGCGGAGCACTCCACGCCATGGCCGCGGTCGTCCTTGAAAAAGCCCCCCGGGCAGCTGCTCACACAGGCGCCCTGATGGAGGAACGTGCCATCGGCCTCGGGACATGCCGTGCACTGATCAGCCCCGGCACCGATATGGCACTCGGCGCAGGTGGCATGACAGGCGACGCAGAACTCCGCCGACAGAAGGGGATCCGTTTCGACAAACTCGCCGGCCGGGCAAGAATCCACACACCGGCCCGGCAGGCTGGACGTCAGCTTCCGGCCAGCAGGGCAGGATGTGCAGTCGTCCTGCGTCCCGGAGCACGTTCGACACTCGGCCAGACAGGGCAGGCATGCGCCAGTTCCCGGCAGCATACCGGCCACCGGGAAGAACCCCTCCCCGCAGGTGGCCACACAGCCATCCACCGGGTGAAGGAGCAGATCCCCGAAGCACCGCTGGCAGTGGACGACCCCCGGGCCGGTGCACTCCATGCACCGGTCCATGCACCGGGCGCAAAGCGCCCCCTCGGCTTCCACCCTGGAGAAGGTGGCCTCCGGGCAGGTGGGCAAGCACTGGCCAAGCCAAAGACCCCCGGTGGGGGGTGCTCCTTCGCGGGCCGCCGAGCACCCGGTGCACTGGCTGTCCCAGGCTCCGGCGCACCCGGCGCAAGTCCCATCACAGGCGATGCACTGGCCGAAGAGTGCCACCATGCCGGCAGGGCAGGATGCCATGCATCGGCCCTGGAACCATGCGTGGCCGGCCGCGCACGACACACAGTCACCGGGCCCCGGCCCGGTACACGTCCCACAGGATTCGTCACAGGCATGGCACTCGGCGACGCCGTCGTCATTCGTCCCGGCGAAGAACCCCACAGTCGGGCAGGCATCCAGGCAGACCCCCGCCACAAGGACCTTCGTCCCGTCGCAGGAAAGGCAGGCACTGACGCCGATGGAGCTGCAGGTCTTGCAGGAGAGGAAGCACTCCTGGCAGCTGGCCTCATCGACACTCAGGTACGTGCCATCCGGGCAGCCCTGGCCCAAGGGGGTGCACTCATTGGACCGGGCCAGGAGCTTGCGCCCGGCGGCGCACTGAATGCAAAGGTCGCCATTGCACCGCTCGCATCCATCCACTGGACAAGTGGGGCATGCGGTCCCGCCCCCCGGGCAGGGGGCCAGCTCGCACCGACCCTCCGCCGTGCGGTCGGCCCCATTGACACAGGCATCGCACTTCGGCGAGGCGGCCGACCCGGAGCAAGTGGAGCACAAATTGGGGCACCGCTCGCACACCTGCCCCCCGCCGGACGCGCGCTTGTCCACGGCAATGAACTGCGGCGGGCAGGCCGGCAGGCAGTACACCCCATACTGGAAGTAGTTGTCTCGGCAGGTGAGGCACTCGGTCGAGCTCGGCCCATGGCAGGACCCGCAATTGGAGTGGCACTTGATGCAGCTCGTGCCCGGGGCCGCGAGGGTGCTGCCCGGTGCGCACGCCAGACATACCGCCCCGGGGGCATCGCTCATGCATGTGGCGCAATTCGGGTCGGCACAGGGCAGGCATCGGGACTGCGATGCATTGAGCCCGGTGCCTGCGGGGCAGCCGGCCACACAGGGCCCGGAATCATCCAGCCCCACGCGAAGCCAACCCCCGGCGCAGGCAAGACACTCGTCTGCCGAGGGCCCGGTGCAGCCACTGCACCCCGGGTGGCAGGGGCGACACTCGCCGACGCGCGGATCCCCCAATCCCCGGGCCAGATACTGGTTGTCGCCCAGGCAGGTGGCACACTGATCCGGCTCGAAGCCGACACATGTGTCGCAGCCAGCCGGACAGGACACGCAGCGGGTCCCGTCCTTGGAGAGCCGGAAGGCCCCGGTACAGGCGACCACACACTCGCCAGCCTGGTACAGCAGACCGCCCCGGCAGGAGGCACACGCGCCCGGGCGTGAGGACGAGCAGGTTTCACACGCCGGGCCGCAAGCGGCGCAGGAAGGCTCGACCGAGGGCCAGCCCAGCGGCTCGGTGGCTACCGGCAGCAGGCCCACCTGACAGACACACATCGTGCCGTTGGACTCCATGCCGTTGGGGCAGGCGCAATCTCCAAGCGGACTGGCCGTCGGGTCCACCGGCCGGGCATGCTGGACACACTCGCATTGATCGGTGGCCCTGTTCAAACGTTGCGATGCCCCGGTGCAGAAGCACTCAAGGGTCACCTCATCGAAGTGCGTGCCGACAGGGCACCAGGATGCCATATTTCCCCGGCGACTGAGCACAGTGAGGCCGGCCATGCCGCCGGCTGGGGCCCTATCCACCATCACCAGATCCACCATGCCGTCATTGTTGACATCGGCCAGGAAGAGATCGCTGCCGGTGGCACTGGACGAAACGGCACCCGTGCCATGGCCACCGGCCGCCAGGACCAAGCGCCGGAAGGGGATGGCCTGGTCGCGCGAAGGCACTGACAGGTAGACAACCACACGACCGGAGGCACGGTCATGCGCCAAGAGATCCACCAACCCATCGGCATTGAAGTCGCCAGATTGAACGACGGTCGTCGGAGGCAGTGGCTGATGCTCCACCACCTGGATGGCGCAGCCACCAAAGTCCGGGCGCCCGGTGCGGTTCTCCCGCGGGCCCCAGCGTGCCGGGGGGGAGCCAGCCGCCACCGGCAGAGGGGTGGTCTTGAGTTGCTCGAAGGTGACCATGTGCCCGGCGATGCACTCATTCGTGTAGATGACGATGCTGCTGTGCGCGCCATCGGCCCAGACCAACACCAACTCCGGCGTGTGATGCGAATATCGCCGCACGGAAAGGGCCTGGTGGACCTCATCCCCAAGTGGCAGCATGCCCTGCCCGGTCAATGTCTTGCTGGAAACAAAGAGCAGGCCCGGGCCCCAGGCAGCCGGGCTCTCGGGGAAGGCCGATTGCACCGAGGGCAGATTCACCACCAGGGAGTCGGAAAAGGAGCCCATCGGCTGGAAGTTGACGCGCGGCCGGTCCTCCGGCAGGGTCAGCATGATATGGGTCCCGCCAGTGTCATCGCCGCTGTATCCCAGGGCGCCAATGGGCAGGATCACACGCAGGGATCGCGCGGCCGGTGGCGGACTCCCCGGCCCGGGGGTGGATAGCATGGCGATTTCCGGATGGCGGCTTTCCAGCGCCGGGAAGGAAATGTCTGCCGCCTCGATGGGCAGGCCCAAGCTCAGGCAGGCCAGCGGCTGGTCGAAGGTGAAGTGCTCCAGGCTGGCCAGCTCCGGCGCCATGATCATGACATCGAGCACGGATCGGACCTCCAGAGGCGCCATGCTCGGGCTGAGCACCTTTTGATGGCCCACAGACGGCCGGCCTTGGATATTGGCCGTCACCTGGGCCAGGATTGTGGCCTGCTCCAGGTAGCTCGACAACTCGATGGCAAAGCCCTCGGAAGCCGGGCTACCACCGGGCACCTCCTCCAGTGCGGGTGGCGGGACCTCATTCAGATCCACGAGCCAGGGCTTACGGGCCGTGGCGTGCATCGATGCCAAGGATCGAATCAATGTCACTTCGCTGGAAAGGAGGGAAAACGGAGAGTTGGTGGCCGAGGCACCGATGTCCATGCTACTGTGAACTAAATCAAGCGCAGGCCCCGGGCCGCCGGCGATGCGAGCCCCGGCCGGGGGGCTCGTCATCGCCTCGGCCGGGCAGGATGGCAACAGCTCCGAATGCAGGTCCCGCAGGTTTACCCGGCCCGGCTTGCCTGGCTGGCCGGAGGGAAGGAACCGAGACACCGGGACCAGGGTCACAACATCGCCAGGGGTCCTGCCCGCCTGCTGGAAGTAGCCCATGACCGAGTGATGGACCGTGGCAATGGCCCACGGATGTGTCCCGCCAATTACCGGTGCCAGACGAGTCCGGGAGATCCCCCGCACGCGGAAGTCCTCCCACCCGGCCGCCGGGATGCTTACATGCGAGGCAATCCACTCGTCCTCGGCTTGGGCCAGTTCGCACATGCCATTGGATACGGGCGCATCGGCATCGGGGCAGCCGGCGGCGCATTCGCCCGATGGCGTCAGCAGGAACCCCTCATGGCATGTAATACACCGACTGGCCATGCATGCGGCGCAGTTGTCCACCGGGCAGGCCGCACAGGCTGCCGGCAAGGAGGGCGGCGGGAGGTCGGACATGCGTTGTCGGAGGGCGCGTCAGCGGGCCGGTGGGGGGCGTACCGCACAGGGCGAAGGAGGGGGGGGGGGGGGGGGGCGAGGGAACAGGCATGAGGGCAGGGTGGCAAGCGCACTGTCATCAGATCCGCAGGTCGAGCAGGGGGGCTCCCCGATCGGAGACAGGTATCCCGGCTGACAAGCACATAGCTTGTCCACGGTCAAGGTCGTCGGCCGGGGCGGGGTGTTCGGGCAACCGGGGTCCAGGGGAGCGCAAATGGCCTCCGCGGACCAGGCACCAGGCACCGTGCATGTGCCCAGACGGCCGCATGCACAGCCATTCTTCGGTGAAGCCCGACGGAAGGCAGTCAACGAGCCAAGATGCTTGTCAAAGAGAACGAGGGCCGTGTCGGATTCCGGGTCCGGGCCCAGCTGGACGCTGATCAAGCTGAGGGAAGTGGCCGGAGTGGGGAGCCCATCCGGCGGGAGGAAGCCGCTGGCCCGAAGTGGCACCGCCGGCTCCACCTCCAGGCGCACCTGATCCGAACCGGGGGCCAGGCGCAGCGTGGCCACATACAACCAGTGGCCATCGAAGAGGGCCACCTGCACGCGATCGTGACGGATCCCCTGTTGGATTGGCTGCACCACCAGTGGAGCCGCCGGCGTGCCAGCGGGCCAACGGAAATCCGACGGCCGGAGAAGCGCCAGCGGAGGCTCCGCGGAAAATGCCGGGCCCGAACTACCACCAGCCGGGCGTGACCGCAACAGCAGCAGTACCGGATCCCCGGCGGCCGGGGCCATCGGCACCAGGAGCATCGGCGACCGGCCGCCATCCGGACCGGCTGGCAGCGGGAACAAATGCCCACAGGGGATCGGCCCCGGGATCAACGGCTGGAAGCCCATGGCCCCGAGGGGGGAATCCATCAGCGCCTGGGGCACCCAATCTACCTGGCAGGCGGCATCATCGGGCCCGACCGATGAGACAGCCACCCACCGGTCGGTACCGGCGGCATTGTCAGCCTCGAGCCAGGCCGATGCGCGCAGATGCCGACCGACAGGGGCTGCTCCGCGCTGGAGCATTTCCATCGGAAGATGGAAGGACGGCCGATCGGCATCGATGGACAACTGCCCGGAGTGACGATCCAGCCCGACAGCCTTGGACGCGGCCCGGGTACAGCTCAGCCCATCCTCGCTCTCGCGAAGGCACAGCAAGCCGCCCTGCCCGGCCACGGCCATGTCCCACGCCTGGCCCTGGCGCCAGTACCGGGCGACCGCCATGCTGGTCAGCCTGCTCGAATGCCAAACCAGCGCCCCACCGGAGGCCGATTCCGACAGCGACACAAAGAGCGGCTGGCCGGTGCCATCCTCCAGCAGGAGGGCCTCAATGTCGGCGTGCGGGGAGATGGAATACTCCATGGCCGCGGTGAGCTCGGCCACTCGGGTGCGAATGGCGTGCACCGAATGCGCCGACACGGTTCGAATACCGGTCAGGAAGCTGCTGCCCACATTCAGCGCCGCCCCGGCCTGGTAGAATGGCCGCTCGGGCGGGGGGAAGACCACGGTGACCGGGCCCTCGGCCGGGAGGGGCGTATCACAGCGACCCTCGCCCAACATCATGCCTGCCGGGCAGCTTGTGCAGGCGTCCGGGCCGGCGGCCTTGCAGTTGCGGCAGCTGGCATGGCAAGGAGCACAATTGCCATCTTGAAGGTGCGGAAATGCGGAATGAACCAAAGAGTGGGCAAGGCATGGGAGCGGGGGGTCCGGGGGGGGGGGGGGGGGGGGGGAGCGCAGGGGGAAACGGCGCGAGGGAATCAGAATGGCAGGCGTGGGAGGAGAAACGACCAATCCCGGGCAAGGGAGGGACATCCTCCCCGGGGACCATGCCTTGCGTACCTGGCAGCTGGAAGAAGCCCTCGCGGCAGAACTCACACGGCGCTACCCGATGCTCGGTGTCCATATTTTCGAAGAGACACTCGCACACCGGGGGAGCCAAGTCGCCAGCCGGGTGCGTGCAGCGCCCGGCTCGGCCACACAGGCACGCACCGGGCTCCGCGGCAGACGCTTTCAGCGAGTAGACTTGCACCGTGCGACCGGTGGTCGAATGCGCCAGGGCCATGTCCGGCCGACCGTCACCGTCGAAGTCGCCAAAAGCAATGGACACCCACACCCCCTCGGGGTCGGGGGAAACACGCGGCGGCAGCAGGGCAAAGGCCCCCACGGAGAGGGCCATCCGCGGGTAGGGCACATGCTTCAGTGGACCGGGGATCAGCCAAACCCCGGTGCCGAAGGCCACCGCCAAGTGGTCATGCGTCCGGGACATGAGACGAACTTGCGCGGCCTTGGGAACCATCTCCGCGTGGGCCCTGTCCGGCCCGGCATAGATGTCCGACAGCCAAATTTGGGTGGCGACGAAGTTCGAAGAGGACAGGAAGAAGACCGCCTGCGGCATCGTCCCGGTCCCGAGGCCGGAGATGACCACCGCATCCGAGGCATCGCCATCGCCATCAAAATCGCCGACCAACAACTGGCCCACCACGATGTCCGACGGCAGACGGCCCAGCTGCCGGAAGGTGGCCGGGGCCGCGGGGTTCATGCTAAAATCGTCCACCTGCACCAGGTACAGGTACCCGGGGCTGGCGATCGGCTCGCCCAGGAAGAGGGCACTCAGGCGCCCATCGCCACGTCGATCGACGGGTGCCATGTGACGCACGGCCCGATACACGTTGGGTAGCTTCATCTCCAGCGCCAGGGTGTTGAAGGAAAGGGGCTTCAGCAGGAAGGACCCGTCAGTCACATCGGCCGTCAGGATGCCGGACACGGTCATGTCGTTGATGGTGGCCGACACAATGACCGGAGACGCGAGGCTCGAGAAGTGCTCCCCCTTCCGGGAGACGCCATCGCTGAAGAGGATTTGATCGGGGGAGAGCAGGACCTGCGTCGGGTCCGAGAAGGCCGAGGTGATGAGCGGCTCCAGAGGGGACAGCGGCAAGGTGACCCGCGAGGCGCCGGAGCTGAGCATGCAAGAGAGGGGCTGCTCCATGGGGGCGGACACGAACCCGATCGGGGCAGTGCGCCCATCGGCGGCTGTCGGCAGCATGCGCACGGCGTAGTGCGCGCCATGGAAGAAAATGTCATCCAGGCCGTCTCGACCACGGGAAGACATGGACCATTGGTCGAAGGCGTCGCAAAATTGGATCTCCACCGAGGCGTCCAGGGGACCGGGGGTCGGGCTGGCAAGCTCGCGAACCAGATGGAAGGCGAAGCTTTCGGGTGCCGACCGGGCCAGCCCAGTCAGCAGCGCCAGGCCACTGAGCAGGAGACCCAACAGCAGTTGTGCCACCATGGCAAATGAAGGGACTTGCCCGTGCCCGCTTTCTCTGTGCCTCGCGAGGGGGTTGGAAGATCCTCAGGCGGAGAAGGGGGGAGATGCTGGCTGCGAGAGGGGCCGAAATGGAGGGGAGAGAGAGAGAGAGAGAGAGATGTGTATGTATTGCAACGCAGGCGGAATCCTCGGAATAATCCCGCCGAAATGTTGGTTGGTTTGGAGGAGGTGGCAAAGGACCAGGCAATACCACGCCCTAGCTGATCGCACGTCTGTATGCAAGCCCGGGGCGTCGTGCATCGGGGGCAATCTCAGCTCCAATCGAACTCTGGCCACCTCGCCCCCCTCCGCCCAGGAGCCCGGTCACCTAATGCCTGAGCCAACATCGGGCGGGTGAGGTTTCAGGGTGATATTCCGGTTGGCGAGGTGGCCAAGTGGGTGGGGCCAGGGTGTGCCAATAGCGGGGTAGTGTATGAGGAGGCTGGATTTGACAATCGGAGGTGAAGAGCGCCCGAGTATTGCCCCCCTCCGCCGCGCGGGAGTGGGGGGGGGGACCATCTGCGGGCAGATGGACAACGAGCAAGGGCATAAGCGACCCTGACTGTCCGCCTGTCTGCCTCTTTCCTGCCCTCCTTGGCCATTCCTTCTTCTCCTCATGTACACCTCTCCAGTCATCCCAAGGAGTCCCGGGGGACAATCATATGCACTCTATTGTTGGTGGGAAGTCGAATGGTTGTATTCCCTCCCCCCTTGACACACACACACACACACACACACACACACACACACACAGGCACGTACAGGCACGCACACAGACACAGACACACCTGTCTTCGATCGCATGGTGCCTATTGTTTTGTCTAGCCTCGCTCGTGCGCGACCCAGCACCCCACCCCGGCACAGCGCGAACAATATCGGACCTAACATCGAGCACGAGTAGAGGGAAATACACCCCCCCCCCCCCTCCCAGGGGGACAGGAAATTGCATCCGGACAGGGGCATTCACGGCCCGGGAGACCTCGTCTCGGGAGAATCACCCAGGGACGCAGGGAGCCGCCTCCTCGGCCCCTGCCCCCTGCGGCCCCTGTCCCCTCGGCCGGCCGGGCTCCCTCTGCGCGACGCGGCGCAGGGGGCGTCTCCCCCCAGCGCCCTCGGCCCAACGGCGGTTCAGCGGACCAAATTGAGGGGCTGCCCAGAGAAGTCAGCCTCAGACCAGGCAGAGATGCCGCCATGAAACACCCCCTAACCACGGCCGAGGCCGCCAGCCTCGCCCAGTCGGGCTCTTTTCTCCGGGGAGCTCTTAGGCCGGCGGGGGGGGGAGGAGCACGGCATCCAAGCGGGGGTATAGTAGTACGTCGGGAGAGGAAGGACTCGCGTGGCCCCGAGCAGGCCTACGCCTGGGCTTGCTTGCGTCTGGAACATCAACAAAAAAAAAAGGCCCGGGCCCCTACCGACCGTCTGGGGGGGGGGGTGAGCTAAATATCGAAGAATCGAGCGGGGCAACTCCCCCTCGATCGTGACACATGTGCCATGGTGGCCGATCCGGGGCCTCGTGGGGAGGGGGCCCGACTGGACGTCGAGTCGGGGGCAGACCACTCCGATCTAGTGCGTGGGCACGCCACAGAGGATGCCCCTTGCTCCACCGGACTGCCGGGCTTGTTTCATCGCCATATGACCAGATAATGTGATAATGTCGCCCACCAGCGCCGGTCTTGGGCATCCAGCAAGGGGATGCTCTCCGAAGCCAGCTTGGTCCGAACCGAGGACGGATCTCGGCCCAAGCGGAGGTATGGATCCCGCCACGGATCATGGCCCCCACTCTGGGGGAGAGCTCAGTCGCCCCTCCCCCCCCCCCCCTCCCGGCGTCCGAGCGTCCGGCAGGACAACACCCGCGGCGAGGATGGTCGCACGAGTGGGCAGAAGGGCACGAGGGAGGCGGGGATCATCGCCTCGGACTGAATGGAATCCGCCGAACAGAAAGCACGCACAGCGTGTGTCGGGGAATCGATCGGGTCGTCGCCGATACCCAGTTAGCCGGCTGGGCCAACCAACTGGTTGAAAGTGCGAAACGAAGAGGGGCCAGCCGCCTCATGCCTATGGAAGGCTTCCTCCCGTTCGGATGTCGGGCAGCCTCTCCCGGCCCTCTTGAGACCGCCACCCGGAGGCTCTTCAAGCCTCGCGTAGCACCGATCCGGATGTGGGGCCTCTGCATCCTGTTTGTGTTTATTTCGGGCCGGATGGCCCCCGGCAACAGGCCCACCGGATCCCCTGGCGCCGGGAGCACCAGCCCGCACGACCGTTGGCGGTACGGTCGACCGGCGCCGGATGGCTATCGCCAGGTGCTGGATGTTCTGATGGGCTATCGGACGCTAACCCAATGCGCCATATTCAAGCAGGCGGGCTGAAGATCTTTGCCGTGCCCACCTTGCGTCCAGCCTCCGGCTGTCAGCGGGCGAACGAGCTCACGGCGGCCGCTACGTGCCGACACCCGCTACTGGGGGGCGCAAGACGAACGCCCACCAATCGCGCAGGAGAGCACCTTTTGCCCCCTATTCCCGAAGTCCAACACGGAGCCCCGAGGAAGGGCACGGACAAACACCGGGCTTCTGTGGCGCCGCGAAGGCGGCCCAGCCACGGCGAGAGATACGCCCTGCCCTCCGCCAAGCACACAAATCTGGCGCCTCTCACAGCTGTGCCCGGCGGCCCTCGGCCCTCTCTACAGTGCGCCTCGCGCTCGGCCCCCGCGCACCCCCCTGCCTCTTCCATCCCGCCCCCCTCCTCTCAGCCCCATGCGCAGGCCCCTCCTCCCTGACCCCTGGAAAGACAAACGAAGCGGAGCCAGAGAAGGCGGCAGGAGGGGAGACACGGAAAGAGGGAGGGTCACAGTCCTCCCTATTCCCGGCCACAAGAAAGGAGAGAACCCGGTCCCAGGAGTGCGCGGATATGCCCACGCAACCATGGCCCGTGCGTGACGCGCGCTGTCCCCTGCCCCGCCCCCCCCTCTGCCAAGGGAGTGAAGCGCGCGCAGAGGAGGGGAAGGCAGCACCCTGTGCGTCCCCCCCCTCCCGCCCCGACCCTGCGCGCTGGCTCGATCTAATGGGGTGTGTGCCTCTCCCCCAACGTGGGAAGAAGAAGGCACACACACGCACACGCCCGTCGGAGAAGAGAGAGAGAGAGAGAGAGCGAGCGAGAGAGAGACCGGGAGGAGCAAGGAACGAGACACTCAAACGGAGAGAAAAGAATGACCAGGAGGAGGAAGAGCGAACGCGCGCGCACGAGGGAGAAGGGTGGTGTGTATGGAGGACAACATCTCTCACAGCAAGGTGGGACATGAAAACATGTTTTGAATCGAGAAAACCGGACACTTTACAAGCATCTTAGTTCTTGCCCTTCTTCTCAGCGGCCTTGGAGGCAGCGGCGTGCTGCTTGGCAAGGTTCTTGACGAGCTTCTGCTCCTCGAGGAGGAAAGCGCGGACGATGCTGCGCGAGGGGGAAGGAGAAGGGAAGGAGACGAGGGGGGACAGGGAATCGGTAAGTGTTAGCCTCGGGAAAGGATGCGCCCTCGCCCCGCCGCCCTGCCAGCCAGCACAAACCACTAGACTGCCATCTCCCCCCGCCGGCCGCCTGTACACACACACACACAGTGGGGCGCATGGCGAAGCAGGAGGGGGAGCGAGAGAGAGACAGAGAAAGAAAGATCCAGAGACGCACCGGTCGCGGACGCAGCCACCGCAGCGAGAGCCACCGTAAGAGCGAGAAACGGTCTTCTGGGTCTTGGACAGACGAGAAAGAGCGAACGGGCGAGAGGCAGGCAGGCCGATCAGCTTGCAACCGCAGTCACCGCAGCTGGGGACCTTACCGCGCTTGGTGATGTAGTGAACGGTGTAACGACCACCAGGGGTGCGGACCTTGCGGACCTGGTTGGAGGTGGTGTTGTAGGACAGGCGACGGCGGTAAGTGACACGGGTGTCGACCATTTTGCTGTTATTGGGCGAGATGCGAGGAGAGGGCGTTCGGAGGGGGGGGGAGGAGAGAGAGAGAGGGGGGAGCGAGAAAGATCAAAGCGAGACGGGGGGAGCAGAAAAAGCCGCGGGCGGTGAAGAGAGGGGGAGATGGGGGAGACAGACAGACAAGAGGACTGAGTTAGTCACCGGAGAAGGGGCGAGGTGAAGGGCAGAGAGCATGGAGAGAGAGAGAGAGAAGCCACGGCCGTCTCCCGGAGAATGCGGAGCACGGGGGTGGGAATGACGCGTGCGCGACACCGCCCCGGCAACCGCCATGCACTGGAAAAGCCAAGGGCGGAGCCCGCATCGGATGCAGCTCACGGGGAAACACATCCGACACACACACACACACACGCGTGCAAATATGGGTGCCTCGGAAATTCAATCACCCCCCAGTCGCCTCGGAGAACTATTTGCATTGCGCAGCGATGCCGCTCACCCCCGCTCGGGGGCATGCTGACCGCGCGCGTGCACTGGAAGAGCGTCCACACACGCGCAGTTCCCCCCTGCCTTCCCGATGAGAAGAGGGAGACCACGCATGCTGCTGCCAGTGGGGATATCCGTGTGCGCGTGCGCATGCGTGTGCGTATGTATGCACACGCGTGGACTCGCATACACACACACACCCCCTCCGGAGGAGGAGGAGGGAGACCGCCCGTTGGACGAGGATGTGCGTCCATGCAAAGGTTGTCCGGGGAAGGGAAGGAGGAGCAAGGAGACATTGCCAGCAGGAATCGCCCTGCCCCCCTCGCAGGGTGCCGCGGCGGGGAGAGGGGGAGTGGCAGGGGAAGGAGCACGCGTAACACGCGCACGCGCGTGTGTGTGTGTGTGTGTGTCGGGATGTGTTGCGGGCAAGAGGAGACAAGAGGAGAGGGGAGGGGAGAGGCAAAACGCACAATAACCTTATCTCAGCGAGGCCGGGGGGACAGACACATCAACAAGGATAGAGGCCTGCCAACTGTGGTTGTTCGATGCTGTGGTCTGGCACATAAATCCAGCCTCGGCCTTCCGGCAGTGTTGAACGCCTCATCCGCGCCCGGGCGGGACACACACTGGGGAGACGGGGGATGAGGCCGCCCTCTGTCTCCCCCCACTCCCCCTCCCCGTTGCCCGCCACCCCCGCCCCCCACCCCCGTACTTGCTCCCGGGGAGGCCACCTCTCCCCGCACTCCTCCCGAGTAACAGGCATCCCCTCACGCTTCGGGGAAAGGAGGAAGACCCGCATCCGCGCACACAGACACACACGCCCTCTCCCCCCCCCC